GCGGCCCGCCGCTTCAGCATCGTGCTCTGCTGCGTCGTCGGCGGCGCCTTGCTGTACCCCTACGGCTTCGTCGGCGACAAGTCCATCATGGCCGCCGCCTTCTTCCAGCAGTTCTGCGTCCAGGGCGCCTGGGGCGTCATCCCCATCCACCTGATGGAGCTGTCGCCCGGCGCCTTTCGCACCTTTGTCGTCGGCACCGCCTACCAGCTCGGCAACCTCGTCTCGTCGGCCTCGTCCACCATCGAGGCCCGTATCGGCGAGCGCTTCCCGCTGCCGCCCACGGAAAAGGGCGTCAAGCGCTACGAGTACGGCAAGGTCATTTGCATCTTCATGGGCTGCGTCTACGCATACACCCTGCTGCTCACCATTATCGGGCCCGAGCATCTGCGCCGCAAATTCGACGTCAGTCACGATCAGGATGCTAAGGAAGCCGTTGGTGTAGAGACTGTTGGCCGCGCCGCCCACGCCGGCGTTTTTCATGAGAATAGCGGTAGCAAGGCCCCTGACATGGAAGACGATGAGGAGAAGAGGGTTGCTGTTCATCACAACTAGGGCTTTATTTTTGATTTTTTTTTCTTATACTTTGAATACGGCCTATGTTTATCGATCTCATGAAGCTTAATGTGCCATGACCGCATGATGCCTTTAATAGGATATGACTTGTGCCTGTGTGTGTATATACAATTACCCTAATAGATAAATTAGGAAACCAACCGGTGCACTTGGTGATAAATGCTACGTAATACTAAAATACACAATTAAAACTGACTAGCAGCCTTATTGATAAGGTTATTTTAAATTAATTGACTTAGTGTTGGTGTAAAAGCAAGTGCATGGTCAAGTTTACTTCTATCAACTGTGGTGGAGGTAAAGGAGTCCATTATGCTTAAAATGCAGTTAATAGTTGTAGCTTATTGTGACCCAGCCTTGTGTGGTTGTGAGAAATTTAACATGTATTTTTATAGTGAAAATTATATGAAAAGGTACCTGACATGACTTAAACTAGCGAATAATGCTGGCTAAAAAGACCGACTTTCTGAGCAATACAAAGGGCTCATTAAGCACATTCCGCTTAATATCGAGCTTCAAAGATATACTTGCCGAAGTTGCCGAAGAATGGAGTCGGTGACATGGTACTCTACCAATAACAAAAGCATAGCAGCAGCAATCACGAGATTACTCTTCATCTTGGCCAACTGGAAGCAGGACGGAGGGGACTTAACACTAGAGCTTAATGCATACTCGCCAAGCGACTCAGAGCACCGGATGAAGATAGCTCGAGTTCCCCGAATCTGATTGCCAGGCGAAGTATGGCGCGACTGCGACAGCGATTCATGATTCAAGACACGGATGGTGGCACGGCCGCATGATTGAAGCACCCGGTGATGATGCCTTACGACGACCATTTGAACCAGCTACTCCCACGTTTCAGGAAGAGCTCCCTCGGGTACGAGCCATAACAAAATTCCTTCTCCGCCGACAGTCTCGTCGTCAACTATATCCCTTGACCTTATCATACCTTTGGTCAAAGCTTCCCCGGCTAGAAGAGATGATATATGAGCCATGGCGGTTATCCTCAAAGGTCTCTGAAGACATATGGGACTCAGGTAGGAAACCGCATCTACATTTAACGCGTCATAAGCCTAACCATCTGAGCTGTAGGCTACGAAGAAATGATTAGCCAGAGACTTCCGGCAAGTGTCAAGAAGGTTATAATATTCGCGGATTTTAATGAAAACTATCTTAACTTATTCCAGCTTTCTCGAGGGCGAAATTCGAGCCTAATCCCAGACCGAGTCCGCATCACGACTCCTGCGGTAGGCGCTTCATTTGCAGCAAATAGCCGGCAACTCAAATACCTATCGGTTGCTTTTCTCGCTGATGCCTGCGACTTCTTCCACGCTTGCCGACCTCATTGGCGATGGCATTAGCTACATTCCCTCACATTGACCTCCCAAAGAATGCACAAGACCAATCCTCTCCAAACCAGCAAGCTACTAGAGGCCGCAGCGCAATCTGCACTCAACATGCCAAGGCTTGAGACTATGACTCTATGGAATGGAGCAAAAGGGGAAGCTTGTGCATTTACCTGGTGCCGACAAGGTGCTTTAATATCCTGGCGCGGGACATGGGGTTTAAAGCTGGAGCCTTCGGTCCTTGACGCTTGGAAGACGGTGGCCTTTGAATATGCTCATCATGAGCTTACAGTAAACACAGAGCTCTTGGCGCATAAAATTGACTCTCATGGGGATGCTATTCGACACCTAGGTCTGCACTCCGTGGTCGACGACATGTCCCTACGGCAACTACGTAAGAGAATAATTGCGGTTAGCCCGGCTTTGAAACATAGGAAAGACGCCCTGATCGGAGAAGAAGGCAGTACTCTATTGACGTATTATCGTGATATCTATCGGGGTGGTTGTTTGGTGAGCATGGCGATGTCTATGCCAAGACCATGTTGCGACCTTGGCCGGACCCTGGCAGATGGGCAGCCAATAGTGTCACACGGCGCCGTGGCTTGCTCTCGGCAGCTGTCTGCACCTGTCACTGCATAACTGTAGGTTCAATGCTGCCGCCCATCTATGCATGTGTCTGTCCATGTCACCCCAGAATGACGCCCAGAATGACGCCCAGAACGACGCCCACTTTACCAGCCTCCCTCCGATAAATCACATCACCACCTCAAAACTGGCAGTTGAACCGTAAGTGCTCATCCGTAATTATCAATCTTTGATGCCGCCCTCATTGACCATCGAGGACCCTTGCAGCTTCGCCTTGCCACACAAATGGCATCTTCAAGCTCCCAACCGCCCATGCGGCCCATAGACCCCCAACCGATGCCATCGCCATCTAATGCTCCGTACTTCCCGCCTCCTCCGCCAGGGCCAGGTCAGGGCCTTGGCTTGCAACTCGGACCAGACTCCCAGATACCAGATCACCCCGGAAGCACAACGCCCGCTCCCGTACCGCTGGACATTCGCAACGTAAAAGCCAGCGCGCGGTTTCACCTCCGTGAGTTCCTACGTGCCCGGAGCCAGCTGCAACAAGGTGGCGGCGCAGCGAGATTCGAGCTCGAATCCCGTCTGAGGAGCCAGGTTGGCATGGCACTGGGCGACCTGAGCACCTTACAAGCCGAAGTGAGAGCTCTTGCTCAAGCTGCTGAGAATCATCGGTGGAGAAGATTCCTCGTGGGAGGCGCAATGTAAGTCATCGAGTCCGACCTGCCAGCTAGTACGACACTTGAATTGTGCCTCGATTCGATTTCTAATGCAAATCCAGCGCGGCATTCATCCCCGCTGTCCGCAAAATCTTCCGCCGCAATTCGGACGAAGAATCACGGCTTTCGTCCAACGACACCGAGTACGCTTTTCGCAAATCCAAGGGCCTACTGTCCGGGATGAAGAGTGCCATTCTGGGCGGAGGCATGCTTGCAAAGGTGGCGTTTTTCGTCTTTGCCATCTTGTATGTGTTTCAGAATGAAGTGACCATCAGAGTGGCCAAGACATTGAACAAGAGGTTGAGGAAGTTGACCGAGAGGATCGAAGGGGGAGATGCCGACCTCGACGAAAGTGATTTGAGGATGTTTGACGGATGGCGATGGAGGGTGCTGTTGTGGTGATGTATGGTCTTTGAGAAACTAGTAAGGGAATCCACCACCCTTTGCTCAAATATGCGCCCAAATGAAGAGGCGGAAAAGCTGGGAGGCTCAATAACCGAATCTCCTGGTTCATGTAATCAACAATTGAGTGCATTAATGGTAGTTTGACACCGTATCGTGATACATCGACAAGTCTCCCCCTCCCCAAAAAAGAGAGAGAATGGCTCAGCGCATTGGAAATAAATTATAGGAGTCTCTTCTGACTTGCGCTTACTTCCAAACTGTCGCAGCTTTGAGCCCGTTCAGCCACGGCTTCGCCTATGCTGGGTGTGATTGAGGCAGAAAACGTCTCTGGGTAATCTACAAGTTCTGGCGTGCGACTGGCCAACCCATAGCAGCGCTTGTCAGCGGCCCCACTCGACACCAAACTGCCATCGACTTCAACGTTTGGAAGCGCAGAACTTCAACCATCGACTGGTGCATCGCGCATCCAACTGCTCGCTGGGCAACTGGCTGAGAAACTGGCGGGGATGTAAGCGAATAATCCGAAACAAGCGTAATCAAGGTTCATGCACCACAGACGAAAGGCCTCTTCGGAGGCTGATACGAGTGTAGAAGAACAAGTCGACGAGTTTTTAGTGAAAGCGCCAGCCAACAAAACCATCGCCAAGCCATCCAGCAGAAATGCGCTAGATCGCCATTTTCGAGAGCTTTATTCCAGGCCGCCCGACTTTAAAGAGCTATCCCGTTTGGATCCCGAGTTTGCTGCCGTGTTGGTCACCCATTTCCAACATTGGCTCGACTGTGTGGCAAGGCTGATTTGTTGAGCAGTGCCAAAGGGCGAGATGTGGACTTTCGGGACCCAAAGTCGGTCATGCAACTAACCAAAACACTTCTCAAGTTAGATTTTGGTATCAAACTAGAGCTCCCAGACGACAGATTATGTCCACCGGTAAGTCCCGAGTTGCCCTTTGCCTCAGCCGGTCTGCATACTCACCAAAACGCCAGGTGCCAAACCGCCACAGTTACATCCTTTGGCTGAAGGATTTACTCGACACATCTTCTTATAATGAGCCTGGGCGAAAGCTTACGGGAATGGACATCGGCACCGGTGCCAGCTGTATCTATCCCTTGTTAGGTTGTGCTCAGCGGCCATGGTCCTTTATTGCAACAGGCACGTCCGAATCGTTTTTTAACCGATGCCATGCTTGGAAACTGCTAATGCTTTGGCAGACATTGACCATAAAAGTCTAAAATGGGCAAAGAGGAACGTCGAAATTAATGACCTATCAAGTCGCGTCAATGTAGTTGCCCGCTCTCCAGGCAGCTCACTTATCCCGCTGGACGAACTGGCACTAGAGTCCATCGATTTCACCATGACCAACCCCCCCTTCTACATGTCAGAAGAAGACCTACTCAGTAGCGCGAAAAAGAAACAGAGACCGCCGTACACTGCATGCACGGGCAGCAAAACCGAAATGGTCACACCCGGCGGAGAGTTGGCCTTTGTCGTTTGCATGCTCGAGGAATCCTGTGCCCTGCGAGCACGAGTACAGTGGTACTCGGCCATGTTTGGATTTCTCTCCAACCTTGTAGATTTCATCGAGCAGCTGCGGTCGTCCGGGATTGAAAACTACGCAGTCACAGAATTCGTCCAAGGGAATAAAACGCGGAGATGGGCTATTGCATGGTCCTTTCAGCCAATGCGTCCAGCACAATATGTCGCGAGGGGCACGAGATCTGCGCTATCCAAGAATATTCTTCCTTGTGTGACGGAGGCGGAAGTGATGTCAGTTGAGATGCCCAAGAGCATTGGAGAGTTTGCTTCCAAAATCACTGCCGCTATTGAGTCCCTGGACTTGATATCTTGGGACTGGGACACACAAGCATATGAAGGAACTGGCCGCGCAGTTGATAAGGTATGGGCGAGGGCATGGCGGAGACGGAAGAAGAGAGAACAGCAAAACCCCGGCGAGAACACCGAGAGTTCAATTTCGAAAAGCGATCCAAGGTGTATGTTTGGCTTCAAGGTGTGGATTCGTGTATCAATGAAAGAGGTGGTGGTGGGATGTCGCTGGACGGAAGGGTTTGACGCGACAGCGTTTGAGAGTTTTCAGGGGTTTCTGAAGTCGACGGCCAAACTCGCGGCAAATGTAAAATAACCTACACCTTTGTGAGCCAGACACTCAACGTGGAGGAAATATCTCTGAGACTCTTTCGCCTGCGAAACGTACCATGCACCGGATAGACACATTCGGTATGAATAACTTTACTCAGCCCCCAAGCTTGCAATAGCCCGACGATGAAGGAGCATGTAACCAATCCACACGAGAACGCTTTAACAAGTTCTCTATTTTGTGTCTTTCTATGCCGTCTACGTTGCCAAATACATCTACTCCTCAGTTGGGCCCATTCACCACGAATCCCCGAGGCAAATGGTTATCATAACCTGCCCTCACCAGCCTCTCCACGGCGATCTTGTCGTCGGGCACCCCCATGCCGCGGGCAATGTCGGCGAACGTCTCTGCCTCCGTCTTGGCGAATCGTCCCTCGGTGAGCTTTCCCGAGTCGCCCGAGAAGATGAGGATCGGGGCCAGGCCGTCGAGGTATAGCTGCGCGGCACGCTGGGCGACGCGCGTGTCGAAGCTGCAGAGGCAGAAGATGGCGTCGGCCGGGCGGATGGGCATTTGCATTTGGGTTGAGTTGGTCATGTTTACAGCCCCCCTTTTTTGTTGATTGGGTGTCCCTGCCTTTCTTTTTGTCCTCTTGCCGGTTCATTTTGTTACTTGTATCTGCAGAGCTGCGTTATCTTCCTTTGTAGGAGCGAAAACGAGCTGAGCTGTTATTGTCCTAGTAGTGTCAGAGTTCACCAAGCCTCACGGTCACGTCTTTGCTGTTCACGTAGATGCTGGTGTTGAGATTGATGAACCTGTTACAATTTCAAATCTTCATATTTAAAATTTTGTACCAGGAGGGGAAATCTTAACATAGAGGAAACAGTCATTCATATGTACTGTCGTGCCGTAATGCCCCCGTACATGGTGCTGGGAAAGGGTCGCCGATCCGGAGCCATAAACACCTCCTTGGCCTCACTGCTGTCCAAAATCATCTCGGAATAGTATATCAGGGGCAAGCTCTCATAGGCTAAATGAGGATTGGAGTTTATGAAACTGTCAAATGACGACTGTTCCGCAGTTTGCTCGACCTGCTCGACAGCGCTGAATCCAAAACATCTTACAGGTAAGCCCCTCGGCCGATGGCCCCGAAACCTGCAGCGCTTCGTTGATGGCTTTCACAAGATGGATTCGTCTTTTTAAAGTGGCCATTAGCTTGTCATCGGGTCCAGCCCGGGAGCCGAGGTTGGCCACCAAGGTATCGTAAAGAAACACAATGAGCCCCGGGTGACTCTTGACCACGCCGTCTACCGAATCTGTGTCAGACAAGGCGGCTGCATCACACACGGCAGCTACCATGACCGCAAGACTCTCTGGAGGAGGCATGCGCGGTGTTGTGGCAATACCCAGTCCGGCCTTGGGCACCGTCCGCAACTTGACACGGCTTTTGCTCGATTGTGGCGGGATGGAGATGAGCCCAGGTAGCGGCATTCTATCAGGGTTGACAAAGCCGATGCGGGCCTGCATACTATCCCACAGAGGCTGGGAATAATGTCTTTTCCACTCGTCACCGGAAATGTCAAGAAGGGGTTCGAACGCCGTCAGGGTAAGACTTCCCATGGACCCATGCCATCCTGTGGTGCGGTTTAAGCCATCTCCCGGCGGCGGTTGCAGAGAGACAAGTGCTGCATGAACATGCTGGATCCAGCAATAAGCCTGTGTCTCGGAATACGGGCCAATGTTTGACATGGAAGCCCTCTTTTGTATAATGGATGTCTGCAAAGCATTCAACGCTTGCTTGATCACCGCACCTCGACGGAGTCTTGTTCCCGACGTGCTCTGAATGACTGTCAAGGCAAAGCGTATTAAATGGTCGCTATCCGCCTGTGAGACGTCCCTCGGCGACGATTCATGTTGGACGGGCTGTGCGGTCGACGAGAGTAGCGACTTGTCCGGCAACACCCAGTTCGCTCGAGCGTTGGCCGTAAACATCAGGTCTTTGGAGTAGTGTACTTTCCACAAGCCGGCGTCCATAAGCTCCGGTGTATGAAGCAGAATTTGGGGAAAATCCTCGCGAGAAGTGAGGCCAATCAAGCGCTTGAAGTGTGCGTATCTGATGGTAGCTACTTGAAGTTGGAAGAGCCAAAATACCGTCATTGTACTATATTTCGTCAGTCAAATTAGTCACGGGCGCCTCTTTTTTTTTTCATTTAAAGCATCATACCGGTGGGTGGTGTTGCGGCGCGAGAAGTGAGGCCAATCAAGCGCTTGAAGTGTGCGTATCTGATGGTAGCTACTTGAAGTTGGAAGAGCCAAAATACCGTCATTGTACTATATTTCGTCAGTCAAATTAGTCACGGGCGCCTCTTTTTTTTTTTCAATTAAAGCATCATACCGGTGAGTGGTGTTGCGGAATCGCTCGGGTCTCTTGGATCTCAACATGTCATGGTCCACGAACATGTCTGCGCATTTCATCACGGTGTTTCCGCAAGCAGTACCCTCCAGAAGCACAAAATACCCTGCTCGCAAATGATTGTAGTGGTCCCAAACGGGTAAATCAGCATTAAGAAAGCCTTGCCAGAAACCATCAGCAGATGCTGTGTTTCTCCTGGCAATCTCATTGATGCGCTCTTTCAACTCCGTCTCACCCACATGGCTGCTCACCGGCCTGTCGTGCTTTTCCATTAGTATTGGAGACTTGTCCGCTTGTATCGCGTCCGCTACTTCATCAAGCAGGGCAGCAGCATGGCCGTGTTCAAAAGCATTGAAGCCCGGTGGACCAAAGATCCGCACCCTCCCCGACTCTACACTCCTGGACAGCCCCCTTTCCAATTTCGTTCTGATCTGTTTGACAGCTTCATCGCGTTCGTGTGGCGGTAAAAGATCCTGCTTGTTGAGGATAACCCACAGGTTCTTTTTGCCATGTTTGTTGTCCAGTTCATTGAGAAGACTTTGACCTCGGGGACGACCTCGTCGAATCTGCAGGTGTCTGCGCAGTCTACGATGATGAAGAACACGTCCGTATTTTGAAAGTAGTGCCGATACAGAGGACGCATTTTGCCACAACTTAGCTCACAGTTTCAGCTGCAGCTTGTCCATGAGCCTCAATTGTGATAGATTTTGTCACAAATTATCACATGTAATGTTGACGCAAGGTCCCTCGGGTCGTAGCGATACACACCTCCAACATCCCACAAAGTAAATTTGTGGCCCTTTGTACTCTCCACGGTCTCGACATTGAGTCCAATGGTAGGGATCGTAGTGATCTTCTCATTAGGTTGCTTCAGCTGGTAAAGTATTGTAGTCTTGCCGGCGGCATCGAAACCCATCATAAGGCCACGATACTCCGGGTTCTTTCCAAAGAGCCACGATGCAAGCTCTTTTAATCCCGTCAGTATTGGTAGTGTCATGGTGAATTGTTGAACTGGCAACTCACTCATGGCGGGCTGCTAAGTGATGATGCAGCAGCGACATATAAGTAGGCATGGACGGCCCGTCGTTCCTCAAAGGAGGCAGTTGAACACGTTCCGCTTGATATAGGAGCTTCTCTCATGAAACCGTGGCCTGAAGTCGAGACGAAAACTGGCCAGACGCTAGATTTATCTCGCAGCCTGCAGGTACCCACGATATTGGGCAAGGTGGGCGCCGAGAGGCGTCGGATGCCTGTCAACTTGTCGAGATAATGTGACATGGGCGCTCGATGCGAGGCCGAGCCAACTCGGTCGCAAGCCAGGCTCTCTGAATTCCATGGCCATGACCATTTTGCAAGGCGGGTGAATGAAAATAAAAGTGGACGAAATCAAGGCAGCCAGAATGTGTCTACTTGGTGTTTACGCACGCTCGTCAGCAGAGATAAGCAATTAAGCAAAGCAGGTAGGCCTAGTCAAGATGAAACGAAACAAAACAAAACAAGCTATACACGGGCATTTGAAAAACACACTGCCATGGCCGAGAAACACCATTGTCAGATTGCCGCCCTCCGAAAAGGAGTGATGCGGAAGTGGGCGACTGTCACCCCGCAGAGTCGCAGACATTCGGCCGGAGGGGGATTCGAGCAGCTCGCTGCATCATTCACACAAGCTAGCTACAACGCCATCAGCTCTCGGCTTTTCAGTAACCTTGAATAACACAATTTCAATTGTATCCAGATAGATGGCTTCTCAATCACACGCATCAGAGCGGGATGCCCTCACAAAGCGCATCCTCCCGTCCATGACGCTCGCGCAAGGCGACGACTCCAAATATACCATCAACTGCCCAGCCAAGCACCCCCGGGATTCAGCACAAGGTCGCTTCACCGTCTCGGGAAACGCCATCATCACAGGCGGAACCGGGGCCATTGGCCTCAAAACGGCACGAGCAATGCTTCAGCACGGCCTCGCGGGCCTCATGCTCTTCGATCTCGACGTCGACGCATCTCAGCGGAGCATCCAGGAGCTCAGGGACGAATTCCCAGGCGCCAAGATCGAAGCATTGCCCGTGGACGTCACAAATGAGGAGCAAGTCTCTGCGGCTGTCGCGGAAGCCGTCTCCCGTCTAGGATCGGCAGATGTGCTCGTGTGCTTTGCGGGAATCGTTGGCTGCGCGCACGCCCTCGAAACGCCGGCATCCCAGTTCCGCAAAATCCTCGACGTCAATACGACGGGCACCTTTATATGCGCTCAGGCAGCCGCCCGCCAAATGGTGAAGCAGGGCACCGGCGGCAGGATCGTGCTCACGGCGTCCATTTCCGCACACAGAGTCAACTTCCCCCAGCCCCAGGTTGCGTATAACGTGAGCAAGGCGGCCGTCGTGATGCTCAAGAGCTCGCTGGCAGCCGAGTGGGCTAGGTATGGAATCACGGTGAACAGCGTGAGCCCGGGGTACATGGACACGGTTCTCAATGCTGGTCAAGGTCTGGCTGAGGCGAGAAGGACGTGGTGCGAGCGGAATCCGTTGGGGAGGATGGGCTTGCCGGAGGAAGTCGCTGGAGTGGTGGTGATGCTGGTGAGCAAGGCGGGCTCGTACATGAATGGGGCAGATATAATATGTGACGGCGGCGGTGTTGTATTCTAGATGATGGGAAACCCGCCATACACTGGTCGTAGAGCTACGGAAAACGACGAATACTTTTTTGGCTGCACAACAGTAGGGCTGGTGTTTACAACGATGCATGCATGCACATGTGCTTGTGCTGGTGCTTGTGCAGGCATCGAACCTGCATTGACTCACTCAATCGGTTGCATTATTCAGTCACACGACCATTCATAAAACATTAACGCAGAATCTATCTCAACCAATCCCTCCCTCCAAGAGCCGGCTGACCGCAACGGACATTTGCACCTTGACACACACCGCAATATAAACCTATATGCATATCGTCAACGCCATAGGCCTCCCGCACACATTTCTCATCAACGTGACTGGTGAACCAGTTCGCACCTCAATCCAAAATGCGGCCCGGGAGGCTCTTTCGGTCCGGCCGACGAATCAGCGGCCCCACGTGGAAGCGAGAGGTTGCGTCGTTCGCTCGCAGACGGGACTTGTCGGGTGGCATCGATGCTTTTTCATTCTTTGTCCACACAAGCTCTCCGTGAGCCCGCCGGCTGCTCAAAGTCTACCGACATGCCAGTGCCTCCTTGTTGGTCCCCTCGGCGCGCCACCGTGGCCCCCGTGCCCCGGGCTTGACGAGTGAAGCGTCGCGGATCGGCAATGTGCCCAGGCGCCGAGTTGTTGAGAGAACCCGTCTCTCCTAGCTTCGCGGCGTGTTGCTACATCTGCTCAATACAGGGGATTTGGTTGGATGGGCTTGTGACTACTAAAGAGGGGTTTCTTGGTGGAGGGCGCTTTTGGTGAAGCCGTCTCCGCGTCTACTTTATAAAGTCCATGTTGAGGGCTTTGGCCTTCGACCACACCTAGTTGCAATGTTGACAACTTCAACGGAACAGCGTCTCCTTGTGCTCTCTCCAATTCCCTGTCCCCTCATCTATATCAAATGCACACAAGTCATAAAAGGCAGGCGCTTGCAATAATGGACAAGGGTTCGCTTCTGGCAGCTTCGAAGGTGGAGCCCATGGTTTCCATCAACCCTCGCTCGACTGTCCTCGGTCGTCTGTGGCCTGCTCTTGCTTTCGCCGTGCAATTCCAGTACATCATCAGCTCCTTTTCCTCCTTCCTGTACATCCAGACCTATTTCGTCACGAGCCTCGCTGTGGTCAACGCCCTTTATGCAAGCCGCTTCCTCGCCATCCAAGCTTGTATCGCGACCAGGTTCGGGGCCTTTCACGGGTTCAATATGTCTGCCAAGGCACTTGCAGATTTTTGGGATGCCAAAACAACACGGATGCTGAGGAGAAAACTCTTTTACGAGTTTGCTGTCTTTATCCTCGGAAGCGGAAACACCATTATCCTATTGCTGTTCTGGCCGGGGTGGCTGGTAGTCGGCGGGGCTTCATTCGCATTGTGGCGGTTTTGGGGATGAAGGTCGAAACGAACCAAATCAGGCATGAAAATTATTAGCACGTCGGGCCTGGGAGAGATGTCACCCAGCACCTCCAACATACAAGACGACATGGCCACCGTTGGTAGAAGCCCTGGCGCACCAACGCTGGAATCGACCGATAATCCGATGTCGACGCCACAAGTCATTTCGAGAAGAAATACGTGTTGCCGCCGGTGTCCTTCCGTATCTCGCCGGCGTAGTCCTTCTCCGGGTCAAACTCCTGCCAAGTGCTAGCAGGGTAGATATGCTTATTTCTCTCATACCACCGACGATCCACCACCTTTGTCCTCGTTGGGTCTTCCGAAGCCCCTTCGAGGGTATCGATGCTCGCCAAAGACTCCGCCGCGGCTGCCCGTGACGCAGCCGTGCTGAGATGGTTTTCACTAGACGGACTAGACTGCTCCTTCGCAGTCTCCTTTCCTACAGGTGCCTCGGAACTATAGTCAAACAGTCGACGGCCTCCGGGCCCAGTCGTCTTGTTCATCACAAAGAAGTAAAAATCGTAGTGCTAGATAATGTCCAGGTCAGCTGTGAGTAGGGTCATAGACTGGAAAAAATATAGAACATACATGTGGAATAATAACGGTATCTCTTACGAGCATCAAGTCATCGACACCAACACGTGCCCACGCCCGCCGCGCATTGCTTTGGTCTCCAACACCCAATTCGGCACCGACTTTGCGACTCTTGTCTAGGAACACCCAAACAAAGTCTCCCTTCTTCATTCGCACGGTGCCCCCTGGTGTATTGGTTCCATCGTAGAAAACGAAGGGGACTGCAATCTCCGTGGCCTTGACAGCTTCCTGGACCGCCACGAATTCTCGTCGCAAGGCCTCTCGCTCGGTTGCCTCTTTCCGCAGGGCCGCCTTCGTGACGACTTTTGGCACGATTCCTACGCTCGCATTCGCTTTGAACTTTGCCTTTCCCGTATCGCTATCGCGGTCCGTGTCCGTGTCTTTCGGTCTGCTCCTGGAATCAGGGTTGCTGCTGGCCTCGCTGTCGCCATCTTCCTCGTCATCAAAGGACAGCAGCTTCTTGCTTTGCTTCTTCTTCTTCCTCGGCGGTCGTGCACCTAGCCCGCTGTTCGAGTCACTGCCGGCGTTGTCAGGAGTGCCTGTCAAAGAACGGTCCGGTGTGGACGTGCCTGAGATGGCGGCCTCGCGAGCTTCGCGCTCCTGCTGCTCGAGCACCTCTGCTCTGCGTTTGCGGAAGTCGGATAGCGCGACAAGACCAACGGTATTTGTTGACAGACGCTCGTGCGTCGTCTTGTTTTGCGGCATGAACCGCGAGCTTCCTTGGTCAGACATGGCGGCGTAGCAGCCGTTGGCTCGTCTGTTGAGAGGTTGCGCAAAGCAAGTTCCACCACATTGTGGTTGAGGCGTAAAGACATTGTCCGCCTCGGAGTGCGAAATTCGCTTTGTACTGTGCCCTCTGCTGTTTTCTGCTCATGTGTCACCGTGCGCAAACACTACCCTGTACCCATTGTGGATTGGGGCATTACAAGTTCTACGAAAGAGCTGAGGAGGAATATCATGATGGCGGATTTACTGACATGGTAATTGATCGTGCCATTTCCCATAGTCCATAGCCAAGTCTGAGTAGTAGACACACAGGATAACGTGTTGGCAAAAAGTGCAAGATGCTCCTCTCTTGGCTAACGTCAAAGTAAAAACCAAGGATCGTACAAACTGGCCTCGACAAGACTTTCAACATTCCACGCACAGTATCTGAAAGCTGCATTACGTCCCCCCAACGCGATCCGAGGTGCACAAGAGTCGAGCTGTCTCAACTTCATGGCAACCTCTGCCCCTGTCTCGTGGCCTGCCCGACGAGCGAATTTGTGGTATCATCCGCGTAGCGTTTGTAAGCTATAATATATCGCTCATCAGCGCTCCATGTGTCCTTGACGCTCTGCCGGTCGACAATGGCATGATACCACTTGAACCAACGTTGCCAGATGGCATCTCCATCGGTTTGTGGAATGCCTAGTCCGCCCGATTTATAGTGATCAAGCAGCCACAGTCGTTTTGCCCAAGGGGCCAGGCTAATGTCGACTAAACTCAGGTGCTCGCCCAAAAACCACGGTCCATCAGGATCCATTTGCTCTGCTAGGGTGCGTATATGGTTGTGAAACTCTGCCCGAGCCTGTTCAATGCTGTATGGCTTCTCTGGAGTGTGCTGTAGAAACCGATAGAAGGCCGGGACGATTCTTGTGCTAACATGGTCGATCCACAGCCGGGCGCGGGCACGCTCGTAGGGATCCGACGGAAGCAAACGACGGCCGTACTTGGATTCATCCGAGTACGCGTCGTCCAAGTATTCACAGATGACCAGACTTTCATACAGTGGTTTATGGCTCTCCCCCTCTGGCCCAGCGGGAACAGCTAGTGTTGGCACCAAGCCGCGAGGGTTCATGGCCAAAAAGTCGGCTTCTTTCTTGTACGGGTTGATTTCAATGTATTGATGTGGAATCCGCTTCTCACACAAGGTGATCCAAGCCCGCTGAACGAAAGGGCAGAACCATCCGCCGTATAGCTTGAGTGGATGTTGAGAGGCATGGCGGGAAGCCAACTCGGCAGCCGCCCCCGATGGCTCCGGCGGAAGTGAAGTATCAGCGTTGGCCATGTTCGAGAAATCAAACGGTTTAATATTTGGAGAGGTGGAAGGTGAGAAATCGATGGACACCAAAGGGATGATGCATCCGTTTGAATGACGTGATGTTGTCAAGCGTCAAACCCCGCCTCCCCACACATGGCTGCAGTTTCATACAAACGGAGGCGCGGAAAGGCGCGATAATTTCCCAAGGCAGAAAATGATAGAAAACCAGTACACTTGAACCACTCATGGTGCTAGTCTTGGCGTGTACTCGAGGCTGTCATCATTTGGCACCTTCACAGGTGATGTGAAATAGTGTCATCCCGTTTTATCGACATCGTCTCAGAGTAAAAGCAGGGACCGTGGGGTGAATTATACTTGCACTTTATCCTTTAAAGTCTGCATTCCCACTGAATCTAGTCCGAATTCATTAATGCTGGCGGCGTCTAAGCGCCGGCATGAGCCGACTCGCCTGGCCCAGTTGGCCGGGTAAACTTTGCTGAGCGTAGAACGAATCTACTACTTCTGAGCGAAATGTGAAAGAAAAGTGAAATTAATGGTGGAAACTTTCTCTTTTCCCAACTTTGCGAACACGTTTGATTCACAGCCTGTAACCAGTAGCCAAGTTCACAGCCTGTCTAGTGTCAGTATATAAGACCGAGAGCTTCACGCACCTCTACCCGGTGAAGAGACTTACCACTTATAAGCAGATGCAGCAATACTTGCTAAATTAAGATGCCAAGCTTTCTTTATCTAAACTAGTGTTCTAACCGCCAGCCCGTGTTATCTGCACGCACATCAAAATCCTAAAGTCAAGTGTATACACAAAATGGACGAGACGAAAGATTCCAGCTTGCTAAAGAAGCAAATTGCTTTGATTCAAGCTGATACCAAGAGCTTGGAGGAGAGTGAGGTGAGTGGCACGCCCATCTTCACCGAGTCCGTGAGACGACATGGGAACAATGCGTCCACATCGAATGGGGAAATATTCACTCAGTACGGATTATTGGGAGGAGATGTTGCCAAGCTCCGTGCAAGCAGGGACCGCGAGCCAAACGTTGAAAATGATCCGAGACTGTTCTACAACATCAAAGCCCCATCCAGCGTCTTCATTTGCGGCAGCCAGGGCTCGGGGAAAAGTCATACCCTGAGCTGCCTGCTTGAGAATTGCCTCATACCCACGGACGCAAATACCCTGCCGAGACCTCTCACTGGCATATTATTTCACTATGATCCCTTCTTTTCGGACAACAGGGGCGAACGCTGCGAAGCCGCCTCTATTTCTTCGCACGCGGATGTAAACGTCCGTGTCTTGTGCCCACCAACAAACGTGGAACAAATCAAGGTAAGTGAGAGTACAAGCTGACTAAAGAGAGACTATAGAAGTCATATTCTAATCACGCGCAGAAACTATATCAATCGCTCCCGAATGTTGAAGTTGAGGAGCTTCGAATCAGCCAGCGAGATCTAAATACCAAACGAATGCTAGACCTCATGGCAGTTAGCTCTATTCAGGGAGGAACTATGCCACTGTATCTGCATATCGTGACTCGCATTCTGAGAGAACTCAGAATTGAGCAACAGAAAAAAGGCGGCCACTTTAATTACAGAGCGTTCCGAAAGGCCATTGCGGCAGAAGAACTCCATACGGGGCAGTCAGGACCTCTTGAACAGAGGCTCGACACTCTGGAAAGTTTCATGGCGGAGGAGGACGTTGCCGAAAGCAAGATACCTGGTGTTACTTCTTACAAGCGCAAGGGCATGAAGTCCATGTTTGACCCCAACGAATTTAAAAGGACGGCCACCACATGGGATCCAAAGGTAGGAGATGACGTTGCTGATATAAAGGATCCTCTTACACTAACTATGATACCTGTTACTAGGCTGGGCAGTTGACTATTGTTGACTTGTCATGTCCCTGCGTCACCCCCGAGTCTGCGTGCTCGTTGTTCAATATCTGTCTAAACTTGTTTCTGGAGCAGCCTTCGGATGGCATTGGACGAGTGATTGCCCTTGACGAAGCGCATAAATACATGACGGAAAGCGCCGAGAGTCAGACCCTCACCGACTCACTCTTGTCGACTATCCGTCTCCAGAGGCATCTTGGCGCACGCATAGTTATTGCAACTCAGGAGCCAACCATCTCCCCCAAGCTTCTGGACCTCTGTTCGGTCACAATTGTGCATCGTTTCACGTCTCCAAATTGGCTGGACAGCCTTAGAAACCATCTGGCAGGGGCGACACCAGGCTGGAAAACCGGCACAGAAGGAGAAGAGCAATCTGGGAACAGCAGCGCAGAAAGAATGGCTGAGCTCCTGGGCCGCATCGTCTCACTTCGCCAAGGCGAAGCTCTGTTGTTCTGTCCCAGCGGTATTGTTGGTGTTGGGACGCCCCAAAAGACTGATGGTATTGATGGAATGGCAGATGAGTTTGCGAAATGGAGTCTTGAGCAGGACCGTTCTGGTACGTATTCTGATTATGGCAACGGCCTCATCTATTTGGGCCAAGGGATCATGAAGATTCGAGTCAGAGAGCGAATCACAGAAGACGGAGGCAAGAGTGTCATGGCCGGTTAGTATGGAGGAGATACAAAGCCATGTAAGAAAGAAGGTTGCGACGGAGATGTTGTCCGTAGGAGAAGTTGCTCCTGTGAGGGATGGTCTTAAACGATGCTGTAGGTTCGTATCATATGAAGAGATAGAAATGAAAAGTCAGCCAAGTTAGATCTGCTAGTAGAATAATATTTCACACTGTTCGCCTCATATACTTTATTGCCAAACTACTTGCATGAAACCATTGATATGGCTTGAGCCTGCTTCAAGCCACCACCATGCGACATGGCGTCTGGTGGACATTTTTTACACGGCTCACAAAAACCCGCGGCCCAGTCCCCCGGAGTTTCCTTGTAATGAACTTGGTTGATTTGTGGAATCGGATCAATGAGGTCATTATCGTCGAGCGTGTTCAAACCCGCCACAAGGCAGACAGCTCAATGCTTGACACTCCGGTCCACGGTTTGACTGCCGTATATCGCGGTTTGCGAAGCCATTCAACTTCTGACGGGCACATTTAATTGATGAAGTGTGCAGCTGACAAGCTGTCAGATTATACGGGGTAGCATTTCACCACCCAAGTGATTGGCAGCTAGCTTTTCGCACCCTTGGCCGATGCAATGCAAGATGTTAGCGTAGGTCGGCGCCGGGTACGAACCAGACTTTATCCTGTAAATGGAAAAGCAAAAACGCACAGGACAGTACTTGACAGGTTGCAGAGAGACAATTGGCGCTTGCCCGGCGTTGGGCAGCTCGTATTTGATGCCGGCCACCGCGACGCACAAGCTCCGCCCTCTCATGTCGTGGCACTCAAAGGCGACGTCACTGTTATTCACGATGAAGGAATCTTCACCGAGAAACTTCATTCTCGTCTTCAAAGTGACGCAGCCTCTGAAAAAAATATACAAGAAGGGGTAGTCGCCTCCCAGAAGAATACCCTTCACTCACCAGTCTCCGTCTCCTCCACTAGACACCGGCCAGCAATCACCCAGCCTCAAAGTCCATCAACATTTCCCCAGACGCCATCAAAATGAAAAAGGTGCTCCTTGCTCTCGGTTTCCTGGGACCGGCTTCAGCCTCCCCCATTGAATCGGCGTGGCCGGAAACCACCCACGCCAGAGGCTTCCGTCTCGTCGTCAACGTCACGGATCTTTCCCGCGACTTCAACCCGCCTGTTCACAACACGTACATTACCGGCGTCCACTACGGCGCGATGACGGATGCCGTCGTTCCCGACCAGGACTTCAAGATTGCCCGCATCTTCTTTGTCAATGGAACCCAGGAAGAGGCCGACGCCGACAAGGCTACCACCATCTGGGCCGACTGGGACATCTACGAAAGCTGGAAGCGTAGCCTGGAGCTGGGATCAGAGACGCTCTCCGAGGTGCTCATGTCGGGTGGAGATGGGGAGAAGGGAATCGGCATTAGACACTACAAGAGCCCGTTCGCCTTCCTCACCCCGGAGACGTATGTCGCTTGTCGCCAGGTGCTCCCGATTGGGGGTGAACAAGTTGTCATCAAGCAAGCCAAGACTACTTTCCCGCCCAACGGCTCGCCTAACCACAATATTCCCAAGGACTGCGCTCCTGTCCGTCTTCTTTCCGAATGCGCTGAGCTGCTTCCTCTTTCTCCCCGTGCTCGGTTTGACTATCGGTTTGCAGTTCAGTCTCAGTGCTATAAGAACGTCACTGGTATTGACTGGACAAAGTACCAGTCGTGATTTTCCAACGGGTCGGACATTGGTTTGCGTCAGACAAAAGAGTTACTTGGTTCATATAGGCAGATGACATGAGGCTAGTTTTGCATGGCCATTGTCCATTCGGTGGAGAGCTAGGTAGAGACTTGGGAGGAACAGATGGCTGACTATGGTGCTGACGCGGTAATGACTGTTCAGTTTACCATAACGAGTGTGAAGAAACTTGGGGTAGATTGCCTAGGTGCAAGTGTTGGCACTCGGTGGTAGTTGGAAACTGTAGACTTTGTTTTCTCAAGTATGAGTTATTAGGACATCTGGCTACACGTCATGAATACAATAATATGTAAGAACTTCTCTACACTGATAATTTGTTGAGTAATCTTTTTTTTCTCGAGTACTACTCCGTTTTACTAGGTAGGGTCAGCAGATGAGCAAAACATGCAAAAGGATCGGCTCCAAGGACCCTCGTTGTAGGTCAATTATAAAATAGCGCAAGTATTTAAAACAGGGCAACGGAGGCTTTCCTTCTTTTGCTACACTGATACCAAAAATGCTCCATTTACGAGAAGCGGCTGAGGCAACGAAGGATAAAGGGACTGATAACATAATCTCACCAACAAGAAAGGCACAATGAGTTGCGTTTAATCTCGAAAACTTTATTCATCGAAATATGTAAACTAGTACATTTTCACATTTCTTTCCCCAACACCAGCGTCAATCCGAGTAGTTTTGACCTTGTATCCGTCAAGCAGTAGCGTCGTGTGTTGAAACTGAGACGACTGTGTACGTGGGTACTGGGTAGCTCACACCCTCTTCATTGACCAGTTGCCGAGGAGTATTTCGAGAGAAAACAGCCAGAGGCTTGGGGACGGCCTCATTCATCATTTCAAAGAGACGAATCCCGAGGCTGCAGTCCAAAAGCTACGGTTGCTTGCCTGCGTTGCTTCTCGATGACGCCAAACACAGGCAAACCTCCGCTTTACTCAAGGGAACAATCCCCCAACCGGCAGCCACGACATAACGACGACTGGTGTTTAACCCGGCGGTTGCAACCACAATCGCATGAACATTGATACCATGATGGTGCCCGATGATGGCGAGGGTTGGTGTCGACCGATTCCGAGTGGTCATCAACCGGAGCTGATTCAACAGGTCCAGACGGCATTTTCAAGGCTGAATAGTACGCTAGTAGGTATTTCTATATTGTCGTGTTGTTAAATATCGGTTTTGTGCGAAGCGTCGTGGTTGTCTTGGGTTGTTGTCTGAGAGGCTGGGTGCTTGATATTGTTTGAGGACTGATAAGGACGACAGCAAGGGGAAGATGGCCTTGGGAAGATGGGAGAATTTATGCATTTTTCTGGACTGCAACCTTGTTGAGAGATTTTTGATAAACACAATGTGTGTCACTGAACAGCATGCAAACGCCGAGTGCCCAGCGCAGCGTTGTCTTGCATCACAACCCGGGCAGGCAGTCACAAGACGAGGATGAGATTCTCTGCTCAGTTTTCACTAGCAAGGCCATGCAGCTGAGGTTTGTTCATTCGAGGCTCACAGTGGAATTGCTAAAAGCATTCGAGCTGAACTAGTCGCATTATGCGTGGCTAATGCGTTCATACCATAGTCGTAGTGACTCGTCAATAATGCCTTTGACCCTTTCAGAACTCAGTTTCTCTGCGCGGTCAAATGTGTATAGTCCGTTCGCCTCTTGTTCGATATCAGTCCTAGTCATAATCAGCCTTTGATCGTCGCCCACACACACAAACAAGTAACGGCCAACTTACAACTGCGTATAGACAAAGGCGCAACAATGCCCGCCGTCGGTTACACCACGTACTAATTTCTCAAACCTAGCCAAAAAGTCCGCCGAGTTGCTCGCGGTTGTGTAACCCCAGTCGCGGACATTCTCCCCACTATCCTTGGCTCTCGCGATATTGACACCGCCAAACTCAGTGCACATGATGGGCGTTCCAGGGACGTGCTGTGCACCTTTGTCTAGACCTTTGATAGCGGGGACAAATAGATGACGGCCCGCCTTCTTGTCCAGTATGGCATCTAAGCTGGCACATGTCTTGGCGAGCTCTGGCCCGTCGCTATAGTCGTGGAAGGTTGTGAGATCTGTGTGGACGTGCTCCCACCCGCAGTTATCGTTGATGCTGCGCGTTGAATCCAGAGACCTGCGTGCGGCCCCCAAGTTAGCCATCGGGAAATGACACATGTGCTCGTCATGCTGTGTTTTACCTTGTCAGGAAATACAGCGCTCGGATGTGATTGCGCTGCTCAACACTATCCTGAAGCGACGTGTACGCCCAGCTCTCATTCACCGGCGTCCAAGTCACAACCGAGGGATGATTTATGGCCAACTTGACCGACTCCACCCACTCTTGGTTGAAGCGGTCGATGTATTCGCGGCTGAATTGGTAGGCGTTTGCCATCTCGGCCCAGACGAGGTAACCGAGTTTGTCGGCAAAGTAGTAGAACAGCGGCCCTTCAACCTTTTGATGCTTTCTGCAGCCATTGAAGCCCATTTTCTTGGCCAGCTCGATATCGTGCTTGATTTCGGCCGACGAGCCCGTCATGAAGGTCTCTGGCCAGTAGCCCTGGTCGAGACAAAGAGCTTGGAAATAAGGTTTCCCATTGAGTCGCCAATAGCCATCTCCGGCTTGCCATTCTATGGATCGCATTCCCGTTGATGTATTGACCGTTTCCAAGACATTTCCGGTTGATGGATCGATAAGATTGATGGTAATGCCATAGAGTAGCGGGTGCTCTGGAGACCACAGTGCGACTCCGTCTTTCCAGCACAATGGATTTTGCAATGAATCTGTGTCAATGGTGCCTGGCAAGATGCTGGACTTTTGGTTCTCGGACATGCGCATCTTGAGTTCGACATCGACAGACTCTTTGTCATTCGGCAGGGCCATAGGCCCCGACTTGGAGACCGAGACGCCCCCGAACCAACTTTCCATCTCGATGCTGTAGTTCCGGCCGACTCTTCGACCAAGCACGGCAACGTGGCAGTACAGAATCCCCGAATCAATGTCATTAGATCGAAGAACAGTTCCACGGGAGCTGTCAGCAATCCTCGCCCGAGGAGCAACCTCCAGCCAGACCGACTGCCAGATACCACCCGAGGGAGTGTAAAAGATGCTCTCCGGCTTCGCCCCCCAGTACTGCTTCCCACGCGGCTGGGTCAAATCATACGCAGAGTCATAGACCCGGATCGTGATCCGATGCGGACCGGCCCCGGCTTGATCGACAGCGTCGGTAACGTCAACGTCAAACGGGACATGGCCGCCGCGATGCCCCCCGACTTCACGACCATTCACCCACACGCGGGCTTCGTAATCGACGGCCCCGAATCGTAACAAGAGCCTGTCTCCGCGGTCCTTTTCTTGGCTTGACCGCAGGTCGGTGACGGAGCGCTCGTACCACAATACTTGATGGACGCCGCGGTCATTGATCCCCGAAGCAGGGCACTGGAATACATATGGGACCTGGATCTGTCGCTTGCGGTTGATAATGGCCGAGTTTCTGGACAAGGCGTTGCCCGGCAGGAGTTCTTGGGTGCCCGCAGCGATGCGTTGCGTGATGCTGTCGCTTTCGCCGCCGAGGCCATCGTTGCTGGCGGCGCCGACAGCTTCCACCGCAATCTCGCTGGGAAGGCCTGCATCTTGCCAGCGCTTCTGTAGCCCTACATCGCCGTCGTCAAAAATGAAGTCCCAAGCGCCGTTGAGCGATTCCCAGTGCAGACCGGCTCGCACAAAGTCTGGGCGGGGATAAGAGGCGTCTGCCATTTTCGCACGGTGGAGGTCTGGAGGAACAAGCGCACGTGCTACAAATTGGATAAATCAATTTTGGTCTTCTTTTGGATTTGGATCATGTAGCTGGAATTTTTTAAAGATGTACGATTACACATTGCATCTTTCAACATGAAGGGAGCTGGTTGCGCGTCATTTTTCGGTTCGAAACAGGTCGTGGAGACGAGTTATTATTATTCCTCGCTATACGTCGATCACAACCATATGAGGTGAAGGATGGACAACGTGGGGTGGTGGACAATGTATACCTGTCCAAAGGAGATCACTGTAAGATCTATCCTATGCTATCAAGGTGTAACAAGGCCAGTTTACATAGAACACTAGCTCTTCATACGAGATCCATTGGCCAAGGTCCTACCCTACGCTCGAAAGCTCTGAAGCTTTCTGAAACTGTGGAGGCAAGTTGGCATGCTCCTTTCAATCAGCAACATGCGGTCCACAATAGTCCACTTGCGCTGAGGGGATTACGTCCTCGCGGGGGAGAAGCTTCTGTTTCGTCTGTAGATGTATAGCAGAAGGTCTTGTGAAGAAATCTCTGACTCGAGGCCACAGTCTTTTGAAAAAGCCCGCAATCTCTGACCCAAAGCCGAAATCTCTCGACATATCCGTCGCCTCACCGCAGCTCAGCAATAATTGACTCGACTCATGTCACACAAGGTTTGCCAAGGCCCCCTCTGTACAAAAGACTATGATGGTTGCAGCAGCACTGGACTCGACGTCAGTAGAGCCACCCAAGCTCTCCGCCACGCCATGGAACCATGGACGCCGATAACGTTAACCTCGAGGGCCCGCCGCCACTGCCACTGTTACTGCCACGGTTACCGCTACTCCTTAAACAACACTGCCTGCATTGTCATGGCCCGAATGGCGAGACTGATGTGGGGATGGATGGTTCCTCGGCGCCGGGATTAAGAACGGGCAGTGTGCAAACCACGATTAGCGAAAACTGCTCGTCCACATTGGCGGGGTCAACGGATGCAAGGGTTTTGCTCTGGGTAACGGCTGCCCATGGTGACGGTTGGTTGATACTCAAGCTGATGGCACGACTGACACCCACCGAGATATGATATTCTCCGAAGCTGACAGCAATAGACGAGCTACTCCTTTCAGCTAGCAGCGCAAGTATGTTGAATAGATTTTGCTTTTACCCACCTAACATGCAGGTGAGCTGCTGGCTGCAGTACGACACCGTCGAACAAAGAATTAGCTCTTCTGGGCCTCGAAAGACTGGCGGTGGAACAGGGATACAGGCGTTTCAATCCATCAATGAGGGAAACCACTCACAGCATGTACCACCCGTCGAAGCCATGATCCGAGGTCCAGATCGGACTCTCGGTGCGTTATTCACAAGTCAATAGCAAATCACCGGTGCGTCTGCGTATGTACAACGACTCGTGATGCAGAGGCCCATCGTACGAGCACATGCAACCAACCCGAGCTGTCAACCGTCAACCGTCAAAGAACGTAAACAGAGGGAAAATAAGCACGCAGCTGACATGTAGGTTGCGTTGTATGGACAATTCGTACGCCGATGATGACTCTTCTCTATGTTTTGTTGCAGCCGACCCTTGCGTAGAGCGGCTTGATAGTTACCACTCAGCCGCGTATACGGAGCAACTAACGGGTTGCCGGCGTGGGAAGTGGAATACGAGATTCTAGTGCTGGGTCGATGCAGATCTCATTGGACCCCCAAAGTTTAACTGGCCGATTCACGAACTGCAACGGTTGGCATTATCTGGGCTTGTCCGATGCCCGCTGCTTGGCTCACGACCGTGCGCTGCCCCATTCTCCTCCGCCTCGCTCTTGAAAGATGCCGGGCGGCCGGTGCTGCTATTCCTGGGCCCCGACGGCATGGTCCCTTTGTCAGAACTGTTTTCGGCCGTCCATGTCTGCTCGACCCAGCTGGCTGGTGGTTCATGCGCTGGCAGAAGATTAACTGTCACTCGTCTTGTCTTTGTTTTTGTCGTGGTGAGATTGCAATGTCTCAGTTGTCGACGCGGTGAAGCGCTCGTGACCACAGCAAAGTGCAAAAACCTAACCAGATTGTCAATTGATCATTATTACGCTGCGGTACGGAGTATTGACACAATGGAAAACGGTGATTTGCAATGACACAGCCCTTTGCGCTGCTGCAAGGCGCATGGGTGGCGGCAAGGGACCGACGTTGGCGCCGTCATGAGCCGGCATTCGGGCTCGTCAGGTTGCAGGGGCTCTTCGATGTTGCCGTGGCGGCTGGTCGGTCAATAGGCCCCGTATTGTATAATAGTGTACTCCGTATTGTTCAGGGAAACAATGCATGAAAACTCAATGTTTGCTGCGGAGTGGGATGGCCTTCAGCTCCTGTCAGCCGTCGTCGTCCTCGTCGTCCTCGTCGCCGCCCTCCGCCTCCCCGTCATCAGCCGTTGAGAGGCAAAAGGACTTGACGCTAACCTATTATCCGCTTAGTGCCAGCTGGCTGCCTGCTGCTCTGTAGTTGCTTCGGCAAATACGAACTCGGTGCTACGTCATTTGCTTGGCCGACGTCTGGCAGCTTTCACTTGCTTCACTTTGTCCATGTTGTTCCCGACATCACCATCACCAGCTTCAAGGGTCAATACCCCATCAGTTGGTTGGTTGCCACACACACACACACACACACACACACACACACACACACACACACACACACACACACACACACACACACACACACACACACACACACACACACACACACACACACACACACACACACACACACACACACACACACACACACACACACACACACACACACACACACACACACACACACACACACACACACACACACACACACACACACACACACACACACACACACACACACACACACACACACACAGACCATCCCACCAGTCTAACCTGACCGATTCGGTGTTTCTCTGCATCATTGGAAGGAACAAAGCTATCTTTGGCTCTCGGCCAACGGGCCAGACAGTAATCTCAACCCGGCTCGGCTGCTTTTGATAACCCGGCCAGCACATTGTTGCTCCGGCTATAAGTATGTGGCGAGATCCCTTTCCCAAATGTAAAGAATAGAGACATCATCTCACAAGACGCACAACAAACAATCATCTGCTCAAACTTTCTTCCGAAAAAGTCTTTGCTACCATCTCTCTTCTCCCTCCCCAAAATCAAGCAACAACACTATCAAAATGTTCAACCTTCTCACATCTCTGCTCTTGGCCGGCGCTGCCCTTGCCGCCCCATCAACCCTGGACCCCCGCGCCGCCGATACATGCACCGACAAGTCGAGACAGACCAAACACTGGACTGTCAAGGATTTTGACTTCCATGCTTCTTACATCTTTACCACCCCTGCCCATCAGAACTCCTGGGGTTACGTCAACTTCACTCTGGAGAACCCCAACGTTGCTTTCAAGCCCCAGTGCTCGGCCTCCTCCGGCCAGCTGAGTGATTTCTTCTACGGCAACCTCATCTACAAGTGCACCCAGCCCGTATCCGGAGTCCCTGCTACCTTTACCTTCTCGTGGCCCCAGAAGGAGCTCAAGGTCAACCAGACCTGGACGTGCCCTCAAGAGGGCAGCCGCTTCTATGCTCAGGGCGGTTCCAAGCTCAACTTGACCTGCGCCGATAACACCTGGCAGAACCCTGACTGGAAGATGGGCCAGATATATTCTTCTCGCACCATCAGCTGCAACCACGTTAATGCTCCGGTTCCTATCCAGGCCATCCAGGCCGTTCGTTAAGCAACTCTGGAACTCTCTGTTGGCTCGCTGGCATAATGAAACGAAAAAAAAGGCAAAACCCCTCTTGGAAATTGTGGCATTGGACTGCCAATTTATGGACTACTGCATTTTATTCTATACCGTTTGCATACGACGGCGCATACGTAATGTATATTTTGGAAGATTTGATTTTGGATTGGGCAGTCGAGAAGAAGTAAGACGGCTGTCGTGGAGTTTGTAACGGGATTGACATGATGGATGTTGGGGAAAAAAAGCCACGGCAGAATCACGCTATTGCATGACACTCATTACCACTGGATACTCCCTTTTTTGAAACAATATGATACCGATGATAGACCGGGAAGGCTGGAGTAGTTGGGCCAAATTTTAGTAATGCTTACGGCTGATGGCCATACAATATACAATCCATGTTCAATGAGATGCCTGCTTGCGAGTCGTGAAGCCTGTCAGGAGATGCAATTGCGTGACGGAGCCATGTGAGCCTTTATTGCATTCATGGGTGACGGGCTGAAGTGAGGCAGGCCCGAGATGTCGCTCGCATTTATACATCACGCCATTGGTGAAAAGACGCCAGGACTCCACGAGAACCACGGACGATGCCGGCCCAGGGATGCTCGAGGGGCGGCTCAGGGGCCGATTTTACAGCAGCGAGAACCGAGAACAGGCCGTAGTTAATGATAGAGATGGCAGTTGATGGTGGCTTAGTCGACACGGGATTTTATACACACGACAAGTGGCAAGTGTTGGCGTGGCCGAGCTTGCGAGGTATCACCAAATAAACCTTGTGCTCCAACCCAGACACCACGTGCCACCTCCATGTAGGTTACCAGAGCATCGAAACTCAACTGAACCTGCTCAACATCGATCGCAGCCATCTCTCCACCACTCCCGTCACCACAAAAGCCCCGAATATTCCATCACGACGCCACCACCACCACTCCCATGCGCACCCGCAGCTTAAAAAAGCAAAAGGCCCAAGTCAATGCTTAAATCAGACCAGGTTCAAGTTCAGTCCCGGCCCATTCTAAGTTAGTCCCCGACCCGCCTGATTGGCCCGTGTTTCCCAAAACAGGCGGCTTTGTCGATCGCGTCATCGCAGCTAGTGCCGAAAAAAAAAGCAAATACTCCATTTTTTTTTTTCATGCAAGAGTCTCCTCACCTTGGGTGAAATCTACTGCGGACAAGAGAGAACAAATTTTACAGACGCGATTTAGCAGACGAATTTCCAGAGCTGCACAATAAAGGTATCGGCTGAGTAAGAATGTAGTCGCAGCCTGGCATGACGACACATCTAAACACGTGAGGCGTGAAGCAAAGAACCAATCTGCATTCCAGGCCTAGAAAAAACGTCAACCAAGGGGTGCGATGGCACCATTCTCGCGAGACCCGCCTAGGTGAGCAAAATGGGGCCAGGAGAAGCTCTAGACACAGCAATCGGTGCTTCTGATGGGCTTCTAGCTCTGCGACACCCGCTTCGGGTATCCACACTTCTGTTAGGACGACGATGAGGTGCTTGGGGACCTTTGGGAACTGACTCTTGGCCTCGTGCTGCGGCGGGCAAAGATTTTTCTTTAAATATGTCGATGGCGTAGCCGTCCGTCTGAAGCTGTCTCGTTCTCCATATTTTTTTATGTTGCATTGGTTCGTCTCTTCTGTTGCTGTCTTATATTTTATATTTGTTCCTTCTTATTTGGGTTCTCGTCGTCGATATAAAGCTTGGCATGTGTGACGACCCCATCGTCTGAATTGACGAAAGCCAATCCTACGAACAAAGATGGAACGCCTTGTTGGAGGCGCCCGCATCGAGGGCAAGGACACTGTCAAGGTGAATCCTAGCGATGCCAGCTCCGGGCCCGACACAGAGAATGGTATACTTGTTCCCCCTCGGCCCTAGAGTTGGCCGCTCTCACACCACCAAGGGCTTTCACACACGACTGACAGTTATGAAAAAAAAAATCAGGCCAACTCGAAATCGCCCGCGAAAACAAACGCCAGATAGGCATTCCTTCGGCCGCCCTGCTCATCTTCAACCGCATCATCGGTACCGGCATCTTCGCCACGCCGGCAACCATTCTTGCCCAATGTGGCTCCCCGGGCCTCTCGCTCATGATCTGGCTTGCGGGCATGCTCATCGCCGCCGCCGGAACAGCAGTGTATATGGAGTTTGGCACAGGACTGCCCCGCAACGGTGGTGAGAAGAATTACCTCGAATTCGTGTACCGCAGGCCCAAGTTCCTCACCACGTGTCTGTACACTGGCTATGTGATCCTCCTGGGGTGGGCGGCGGGCAACTCTGTCATCTTTGGAGAGTACATCCTGCACGCCGCGCAGGTCAATGTGACGCGGTGGAACCAGCGAGGCATCGCGCTGGCATGTCTGACGACTGCCTTCTTGATCCACGGGACGGCGTTGAAATGGGGAATCCGACTGCAGAATTTCTTGGGTATCTTGAAGATCCTCGTCATTGTCATCATCGTCATATCCCCGTTGGTCAATCTCAAAAAGGTGAGGGAGAATCACAACTTCTCCAAGCCGTTCGAGGGCACGACCGGCAGTGCGTACGGCATCGTCACGGCGCTGTACAACGTCATTTGGAGCTATGTCGGCTACAGCAACGCCAACTACGCCCTCAGCGAGACCAAGAACCCGGCCAGGACGCTCAAGTTTGCCGCCCCGCTGGCCCTCGGCATCATTTCCGTCCTGTACATGCTCGCAAACGTGGCCTACTTTGCGGCTGTTTCGAAGGAGGAGATGCTGGAATCGAAGCGCCTGGTGGCGGCCTCGCTCTTCCGCAACATGTTTGGAGAGTCTGCTGAGCGGGCCCTGTCCGTCTTTGTTGCTCTGTCTGCGTTCGGCAACGTCCTGAGCGTCATCTTCTCCCAGGGCCGACTGGTCCAGGAACTCGGGCGCGAGGGTGTCCTCCCCTTCTCGCGCTTCTGGGCGAGCAACCGCCCCTTCAACGCCCCTCTCGCCGGTCTCTTTGAGCACTGGCTCGTCACGGCGATTACGATTCTGGCCCCCCCGTCTGGCGACGCGTACAACTTTGTGCTCAACCTCATTTCGTACCCGCTTGCCATCATCAACACGTTTGTCGCGGGCGGACTGATCCATCTGTACCGCAACCGTGCCGCGAGGAACTGGAATCCTCCCCTCAAAGCAACCCTCCCTGTGGCCGTCTTTTTCCTCCTCAGCAACATTTACTTGGTCGTGGCTCCGTTTGTGCCTCCCGAGGACGGGCAGAGTGTATACGAGAGTCTGCCATACTGGATCCACTGTGTTGTCGGCTTTGGTGTGATTCTGGCCGGAGGCGTGTATTGGTTAATCTGGGCTGTTATCCTCCCCAAGATCGGCAGGTACGAGCTTGTGCGGGAGACGGTCGTTGATGACATTGATGGATGGGAAAGGAGTTACTTCTTTACCCGGCCGCTGGGAGAGCGGACCAAGGATACCCAGGATCCTAATGATTCTCACTGATTGGTCGATGTATTCTTTTTCAACATGAGACTAGTAATTCAACATAGCGATGCAATTGATATTTTTTTTGATACCACATTTTTAGCTTGGCATTTGTTGACTCGGGCGAGTGTGACAATGTATACCTAGGTACCTAGGTATATGCTTAATCTCCTTACACTCGTATGCATACACTCAAAGGTACATATATCCCTATACACAGACATATGTACCTAGTAGATATGGACAATGCATCCTTTGGCCACGTGCTGAGGCGACATGTCGTGACTGCCTACCCTAGGTAGGTATCTTTTCACACCGCAACGCAAATGCGTTACAAACCAAGATCAAAACCGCCACTTACTCGGCTGAGCATCTGCTCAGCGTCTGAATCTGCATGAGACGAGATGAGGAGTGCAAACAACAACCCTGATCTGCGCCCGTAATGCCAGGACGGTTGACGGAAGCTATGCATTTGTGCCGTTGTTCCGAACGCCTGCCAAGACGGGCCATGGCCATCTACCTGATGCGAATGAACGAATAGTCCTCGATGACTTCAAATGGTAACTACTAAACGGCTCACAATCCTGTTCGGACTGGTCGGCAGAGCTCCACTGCATGCGCTTATGTCTCGTGCTTTCGGCAGTTTCTGCTCGACAGTTTCCACGATGGGTAATGCACCCTGCCACGATGATTCGACAACGAGGGCAGAGTTCCAATGCACGATATTTCCAGCAATCATATTTCGACATGGTCCCAGAAAAGACCCTGGGTTATTCTTCACCTACCCATTCAAGCAGGCGTTGAGGCAGGTCTGTCCGTACGGGGTCACATCAATTGATGACATGTCGGGAATTGGGCAAATGACGGAAACCGACTCGAACATGAGGTCGGACCCGACGCAAGGCTTATAAGATAAGCAGCCGGGAAAGTCTAAGACAAGATCCATTGTGGAGGATGCTTGTTTTCTTAGCCGAGACAAGATACAGCATCGCATACCAGTGCGTGAAGCTGCATCTTCCACGCCACATTGTCGCCATTTTTCGGGACCCGCACGGGGACGCATGGAGCTTGGAGATAAGATCGGCAGTCGAGCTTGGTGTGTGATTGTGTCTCGTGGCTTCACCTATCCTGGCTTCTTCCAGGCTGACCTCGCCTTATCCAATGCTGAGAGTGCTATGACGCTGACGAAGCTATGCCAGGCATCATAAGCTGCCTCCCCGCTTGCTCTAGGTTTGCAAGTGTCAAACCAAAACAGCCACCGGTGAAACATCATCATTATGAGGACAAGGCTATGATTGCGAGTGCCCACCGTGGGATCGGCCCTGCACACCTACCCTCCTGTCCTGACCTAGGCACCCTTGTGGGTTTGGTCCACGCAGCATCACACATGGCCACAAACACCATGGTATTGCCAGAGGAGCCCGAAACCTACCCTCATGATCGACGTTGGAAAATACCCAGCAACTAGGTACGTGCTTATGGGGTAGTAGGGAAAGCCGGCTAGTCTAGTCAAGTCCATTAGTCCTTCAACAGCAAATTATCTTATTCTTAGGTAATGCTAGCTTGATAGCTAGGGAAGTAAGGTTCGTACACTAGACATATATATATTCGGGGAATAACCGCACGCCACTGTGTCTGTCCTCTGGCCACGCTTGTTTTTTATGCGACAACCCTTCTCATTAATCTCCTAGAGATCGAATAAAGCCGGGCTTCCCACAAGTTGTCAAAACCGGTTTCTACCCCTGTCCCCCAGGTTCGTTCTTGGGGTCACCGCCTGTTGCCGTCTCGAATGCATATTATCCAACATGCGTTTCTCTGCTGCATTTTTCCTGGGGCTGGTCTCGGTGACAGCCGCGTTCCCGAGCCCATATTCTGATGAAGCAACAGGCGTCCCGCCTACCAAGGAGTCCTTTCGCAAGCGAGATAGCGAATGGAGCTATTTAATCAGGGGAGCTGATGTAAAGGCTACCCAAAACTACGGGGGCCATCTTGTCAACTATAAACTCCGTGCTAATGCAGTTGACCCAAGTAAACTTGGCGTCGACACGGTTAAGCAGTACACTGGATATCTCGATGACAACTCCACGGACAAGCATCTTTTCTATTGTAAGTCAACGTCTGATGAACTACCAGTATCTGTTAGCTAATTCTCATTTTGATCAAGGGTTCTTTGAATCTCGCAATGACCCTAAGAACGACCCTGTTATCCTATGGCTTACTGGAGGGCCTGGCTGTTCTTCCATGTCTGGTCTCTTCATGGAGCTTGGTCCCTCCCACATTGACAAGAACGGCAGCCTCGTCCGAAACAAATACTCCTGGAACAACAACGCCTCTGTGATCTTCTTAGATCAGCCCGTCAACACTGGCTTCTCCTACAGCAACGTTCCCGTCGACACCACAGCTGCTGCTTCTAAAGATGTCTACGCCTTGATGACCCTGTTTTTCGAGCAATTCCCCGAGTATTCCGAACAGGATTTCCACATTTCCGGTGAATCCTATGCCGGTCACTACATCCCAGTCTTTGCCTCTGAAATTTTATCTCACCCTGCTCGTAATATCAACCTCAAGAGCGTCTTGATTGGCAACGGCCTCACCGATCCCTACACCCAGTATGCCTCTTACAAGCCTATGGGCTGCGGGGAGGGGGGATATAAGCCTGTCCTCAATAATTATACTTGCCAGGCTATGGAGTATGCACTTCCTAAATGCCAGGAAGCGATCAAGGCCTGCTATAACGGAGAAGATGCCGCGTGTGTCAACGCGGGCGACGATTGCAATACCCCATTACTCGGTGCCTTTGGATCAACAGGCCTCAACGTTTACGACATCCGGAAAAAGTGTGTTGGAGGTAATCTCTGCTATGAAGAAATGAACTGGATTCAAGACTGGCTGAACAAAAAGGACGTTATGCAAGACCTTGGCGTCGAAGTTGCCAACTTCAGCACCTGCAACAACCACATTAACACTGCCTTTCGACAGGCCGGTGATTGGTTTCTTCCCATCCAGAAACACGTACCGGCACTTTTGGAAAAGATCCCGGTGCTCATCTATGCAGGCGACGTCGATTTCATCTGCAACTGGTTGGGCAACTATGCATGGACAAATGCTCTGCCGTGGCCGGGCCAGATCGACTTCAACGATGCCAGCATGATCGAGTTGCAAGCCCCTTCTGGAAAGGCCTATGGAAGCTTGAAGCACGCGCGGGGGTTTGCATTTCTACGAGTCTACAAGGCAGGGCACATGGTTCCATATGACCAGCCTGAAGGTGCTCTTGACTTTGTCAACCGCTGGGTAGGGGGCGAGTGGACCAACTAAAGCTTATGTATGCAGCCTGTGACGAAATATATTTAATTCTTCATACTGATACGTACATGCTAATTTACTACAGCACATTACACTATACCGCAGGACAGCTAGGTACCTGCTCCGGTTGAATACGCTTTCGCAACTTACTATACCATATAGCATTCTCTAGGCCGCACAAAGTCTTTGACAAAGCAAGCTAGTACCTATAATAATATGGGGGACTTGCGGTATTAGAGAATTTTTTCGCCCGTAAACGTATTCGTGTTTCACTTCGAGTGCGTCTCAGTAAGATTACGACTCTCTCGTCGTGGCAGGCGCAGTTTTAACAGAGGAGTCTTAGCAATGCCGCATGAATAAATCGGAAGCAAGGCATCAAAAACTCATAAGTCATATTTCCTTCAAGCCGTGTGAGCTTTACCGAGACTCCCGTGTCGGGCAATGCATCAACTTTCGTTCCATCGGATGCACTTGTATTCGTATTCGCATGTGTGTTTTGCGTCCCTGTCTGTGTACAACAAGCTAATACCAGAGAATACTTGCAGCGTTCTCGTAGTAAATTCAAGAGATGTATATATATTCTTCTTGGATCTAGCGGAATCTCTTGAAAATTTCCGTGTCGTTGATTTTACGCTTCTCCTCTACCTGGTTGGCTGGAGCTATCTCGCAACACCTTGCTCCGATATCAATCGTACTCCCCCTTTTACCACCGCATCAACATGCCTAGCAAAACTTTAGTATCGGGTAATGATGCAAGGCGTGCTGATTTTGACAAGATTCTCCATGGCGCATCGTCCGAGTCCCCGGGCGGCTTGCGTGCCATGATGGGCAAGGACCGAGAGGCCAACGAGGTGGCAGTGAAGGAGTATTTCCGACACTGGGACAACAAGAAGGCCCAGGACGAGGCGGAGGCCGTCCGCCAGGCTCGAGCAGATGACTATGCCAGCCTGACTAGACAGTATGGCTTACTTGCCACCCCCTTCTTGCACGATTGTAGCTTTTGTCTTGGTGGGACGGTTGGCTTACACCAGTGTTTCCAGAATCCAGATACTACAACATCGCGACTGATTCGTCGGGGTGTACCGCGAGATCAACCGCGTCCTCATCCCAGGTGGCATTTTTGGTGTCTACGAATGGCTCATGACAGAGTCTTACGATGATGAGGACCTTGAGCATCGCCGCATCAGACTCGATATTGAACAGGGAGACGGTATCCCGCAGATGTTTGGGGTGCGTGAGGGGCTGGCGGCTATAAGGGAGGCCGGCTTTGAGCTGGTACACCATGAGGACTTCGCGGCTTTGGACAGCGGTCCCGGGGTGGTGGCGCATGCGTTTTTGCAAGCCCTTGAGATGGCGAGGATTGTGCCGTCTGGCACAAGCCCATTTTTTGTTCCAATAATTCAAGTCCATCAACCGTCTCCCTGGATACCGGACACACCTACGTAAGTACTCCCAAAGTACAGTCCAAGTCATTGCGTCACGATCCGATGCTCCCAGCCAAGCTTCCCGCAAGTCCTCGAGTTATCTCTTGATGCTGTTTCGGAGAACGGCAAGCGGCCTTGCAGACATCTACTAGCAATTGGAACCACTGTCTAGCAAGATCAGTAGGGTCGTCGCCTCGGTAACGATGGACGCGAGATTGAACGCCTCACTTGGAAACAAATGAATGAACAAACAAAGGCGCCACCGTGGCCCGTTTAATGGGGTCTAAGGACACCTGTAGGTAGTTCTTTCCCGTCTGGTGTTGGCATTCACCCACCTCTCAAGCGTTGCATCGGCATACGGCTGGCACATAACACCGGACACGCAACACCCACCTACGTATGCAGAGTGTTCAGTGTTTCCATTCATCACTTATTTCAGTCAGGTCATCATGGTGCATCTACAAATGGGAAGGACGGCTGTAATTCTGGTGTAATCAGGTTATATGGTTTTATCATCATGCCCCAAGGCTAGGTAGGACAAGGACAGTCTCCTTTCAGCAAGGGGCTTTGGACCAGCAGTGGGTTTTACAGATAGTTTTCGATAGAACCTACCATTTTGCTATTCTCATTGTCATGAAGCCCGTCTCACAAAGTGTGTTCTCCAACGTCCCAAGCATGTTAAATCATAGACAAGAAGGCAAATAGCGTTTGAGGCTTTGTAAGCGGAAATTAACCTGCCAACATTCAAAAACGTTGCAATCGACTGGGCAAGAACTGGCAGCAGATAGTTGTAATTCAGTATTCGTCATCTTCTACGACGTCTACATGTACACGTTACATGGTATCATGATAGAGCAAAAGTTTTGACTGGTTTGGTAAACCAAAATTCATCGACCCAAGCAGCCAGTATACCCTACAAACTATAACAGATAGCGGTATTTGGGGTTCATATCGCCCAGGGCCAGTTTCTCTTCTTCCGACAGATGGTCCACGTCTTGTTTGCCATTTTGACGGTCGCTGTTTGCCTTCCAGCAGGCAAACGCGTACACGACACAAGCCACAATAGAGACACAGCAGAATGCGATGCATAAAGAGTAACCAAGACTGTAGTCTTGGACAGCTTTGGCGCCCGAGTCTTGCTTAAACGCAAAGGCAGCAATAATACCACCTAGGTTACCGAAACCAACTTGCCAGGCGCTCCCAACGGCTCGTCGGTGGTGGCCACCCAAGTTCATGTTGAACCAGCAGACGATGATGGGCATTGCCGTATAGGCGCCCATGGCGGCTAGGAAAAGAGCAGAATACTGCGCGTCCAGGTTTGTGTGGACGGCGAGAAGGATGGCGAATCCAGAGATGGCAATGCCAATGGGAACCACGGCGAAGAGGGCTCGATGTCTTAGCTTGTCTGAGGCGTAAGCGCAGATCATTGAGAAGCCAAATGCGGCAACCCACGGGGGTACACTGCGCAGCTGAGTCTCAATTTTGCTGTAGCCATAACCGTTCAGAATCGTCGGCGCAAAGTAAGCATAACCATAGGCCGGGACGATAAGACCAAAGTACATGAAGCCACCAACAACGACCTTGTAGTCTTTAAAGATGTTTCCGACGTCACGCAAGGTGATCTTGCGGTCCAATCCAGCTTTGCCCTGGTCGAGACGGAGCCTAGCAGCGACATACTCGCGTTCATCCTCCTTGAGCCACTTTGCTTGCTCGGGGAAGTTGGGGAGCCAGAAGTAGAAAAAGAAGCTGACGAGCACGGTAAGGCCACCTTCAATAATGAAAATCCAGCGCCACCCGCTATAACCACGCATTCCACTCATTTTACCAATGGCGGCAGCGAGCAGCCCACCGAAGGCGCCGGCCAGAGTTGTGCTATTAAAGAAGAAGGAGTACCGTCGTTGGGCTTCATGCCGACGGTACCACATGCCAATCAAGTAGAATGCTAGCCGCGAAAGAAACGTGTGAGTCAGCCCGATGTACCTGGTGTGAGAAATGTGCGCGCCTGAGAGAAAGCAGGCCATCACTTACCACCGGGAAACATGCCTGTTTCAAACAATCCGAGGAAAAATCGAGTTGTCAGCAAGCCGCCATAGTTTCGGACCACCCCCTGCATCATTGTGGTGAAGCCAAACAGAAACATGTTCAAGGATAGCCACGTAGACGGCTTGAATTTCTTGAGGAGGATGTTGGACGGAATCTCAAACAAGACATATGGCACGAAGAAGATGACAATGGCCGTGTTAAACTTTGAGGGATCACCTTTTAAGCCGAGGTCTGTCTCAAGGTCGAAAATCCTAGCATTGGCGATATTGACTCTATCTGTGAGGTAGAATTGGTTAGTTTGTCAGTCCCAAAGTGGAATCGGAATAGTAGCCTGTCGGAAAGGCTGATAGACATGTTGATTAGTGTTCTTACCAAGGAAAGCCAGCAAGTACATGACACAAAGGAACGGAACGACATGAAGGTCAATCTTGGTTAGAAGCCGGAGATCAGTCGTGTGTGACGGGCACCTGACCTCCTCTTCGTCCGAACTGCCATCCTTGAAATGCGGTTCCTGTGCGTCTGAGAGTATACCAGTCTCGCCAATCTGAGGCTGGTTGAGCGAGTCGCGGTTTTTCTCATCCGCAGGGACTGCCATGGCGTGTGGGAGGATTTTGATCGTGGATCACCGGACCAAGATACAAATGTCTGCGAATAGTTGTTTCGCCCAGCGACGCAAGTACACTCGAATTCGACAGGTACCGCAATCTTGGCTCGTGCACACAGCGAGAAGAGATGAACGATGACCGTGGCAGCACGGCAAGACCCCAGTTGGCGCAAGGATCAAATATTCATCACGACCCGGCCGAGGTCGGCAGCATGGCGGGTTATTATATGGAGAAGAACGACCGTGTCTTAGAAACTAGAGCATAAGCTGACATGAGGTAATTGAAAATGGCCCACCACTGGATCTTGAAAGGGGGGCCCCGAAGGACTGGGGGAGTTGGGAGGGCTTGGGGAGACGACGAGGGGAAGACGAAGACGACACCACCAGACAGATGAATGGAATCTCCGGCGTGGAGGGCTCCAGGTCCAGGGGGGCATCGATCTGGGTACGGACGGAGTGGAGGCGGCCCAACAGCCGCTAAAACGCCTCTGGACCGTTCCATGCTAACAAATTCGTTCAGTGATAACTACTACTAGAATTGACATGGGGGTCCACGTCGGATCCGTGATGGACTTTGGCGGCCGACTTCAAGGGCTTAGGGCAGGCGCGACCGGTTCATCCCTTGGCCCCGCAAGCCTGAGGCTAGAAACATCACGCTCAACGTAAGTCGTTGCGGCCCACAGCTTGCTTCTCGAACCATTCAAATTGTCAACAACATGCACACATCCCTCGGTCTTTAAATTTTGTGGCGGACTCGCCATGTCTTCGCAATCCTCAGCGACGCCTTGCCTGTTCATGTGCGGCTGAAACCTTATTGCTGACATGCTGCATAGCTTATTGCTTTATATGCTGCAGAGCTTATTTGCTTACCATGGTGCAAAAGGAGCATTCGGCGCCCACGGAGTAAGGCAGGATCCGCGGACATGTAAGCTGCATGGCAACATTACGGGACTTGAAGCAGCCCATCAAACGAGACAGGGATCCATTGCCGGTCTTTCTCTCTGCGCATAACCGCCCGCAGCATCTCTATTGGACGTCGGGTACAACTTACGGTGGCAATGTCAGCATCGCATCATGTATTTGCAAACGGCGTCGGGAGGCCAAGACCACCGACTGCACAAGTTTGAGTCACGCAGGCCGTTTATTCCCGGGGGGTTCATCACGCCTTCTATGAACATGCAATACCTGCGTGATACGAAAGACGAACAACCCCGACTGACTAGCTGTCCGCTAAACTCAATAGCAAATGGACTGTTGGCATGAGAAACGACCCCTATCTTCAGTGCTATTTAGCTATATGCGATATCTATGATGTTGCTAAAGTTCCCTTCCACAAGTTTCCCCTCCATTTGGGAGCTCTGCTAAATTCGGAGCAACACATCGATAAGGTGTGCAGGATGCCCTGGTCTACCGTGCAGGCCAAGTGAAACAACCGAAATTAACAATTCGAGTGGGCTAGCCCTCCTGCCCGCGTGAATACATTTTGAGATTCTTTAGCCGACATGGGTTGGAAACTGGCGAGAGCTGAGGAGGCTCTCTTACACACGACGGTACGTTTCTGTGTGGAGGCCTCGCCGTTTTTCGAGTAGTGGTGTTTGAAGCAATCGGATGACCGGATATTTGTTTGGACTTTAGAGAAAGTAGAAAAGGACGTCCAAGATATATTATGTACTGGTATCCAACCAAGCACGTTTGCAATTGGAAGCCGGAACAGCTTATATGTACATTCCCGATCTCGAAATGTGGGGATGCAGCGTCCCGAGAAATCTATGAAAGGCTCTCTCACTCGTTTGCAAGTCAAAAATGGTCATTGACAAAGTTGACTTAATTTGACAGGCCCCCCGCTTTACCATCGATCGTTTTGAAAGGGTGCAAGGATCCACATTGACGACACCAAGAAGCCGAGTTCATAGTGTTGGCAATCAACTCTTGTATCATCACGTCCAATGATGAATACAAATGGCGATGGGTTATTTGACGAGCCAGTGGAATTGTCGACTCAGATCCAGCGTCCAAGATTTTGGACCGATGAATACAACAACGATTTGGTCGCTTGGGGATCGGACTTCCATCAATGGGTCCGTCATGATGAGCTTCTCCGTATGGAACGAGATTCTATTCAAACCCCACGCCATTACGAAAACCCGGGTATCAATGCAGAATCTCTTGTTCAAGATTACCCGATGCATCGTCAGCCCTTTGCAGGTGTGTCCAACAGGTGAGTTAAGAGATGTGGTAACCGCAGTGCATATCTCGCTAATCAAGGTCTCTCTATTTAAAGTAATTCCAATAATATGAACTCATTTGGAGAATTTGTTCTGCCAGGTATTTCAGTGAATGAAGATATCTCGATCAACCCCTGGCACGACTATAGCCTTCCTGGTGGATTTTTCGATCACAATAAATCCGTAGGACCGGGCCATGAAAACTCTTCCACATCAGAGACCACCATCGACAGTATCGAAAACGCATTTGAGCCCATGGCGCAGCGCAGTAAACGCGGTGTCGGAAACGAATTCGATGAGATTAGCGGCCCACGAAGAAAGAAAGCCCGCAAAATTTCTCCAACAACCGCTGAGATAACTCCTGAAAGCAAGGCCATACACGACAAAAGCAAAGAATCCCCAACCAGAGTATTTCAGGAGTTGTTTGAAAGTAAACATCATGCCGAGAAATCATTGGAAACCATCATGGAGCTACATCGCAAATCGGTGGCGGATTGTTCCTTTCCGGCAGATGATGAATCTTTTCCCAAGACAGATGAAGAATATCGTCAGAGGGTGCGCCAGGTATTCGATGCCATCTGCGACTGGTCGTATATCCTGGAGTGGAGGAAAGTCTTGCCGAAGGGCCAAGAGTATCGCATCGGTACTGAATTCTCACACGACAGACCGGAGCGCCGTCAGGAGGAGTCAATGGACGATCCGCCGGCAGACTTTATGCCAACCGAGGCCGAACTTGCCAACATACTGCCGCCCGTTGAAGATCAACAGCGAAGGGTGTTAAGGCAAATACCTAATGACCAGACAATTGAGTGGATTTCATGGGGTATTGTGGTATTTTTTTCCCTGGTGGTTACGCCGTCAACTGTTGGAAGCAAGTTATTGACATGATTCAGGATGCCGCTATCAAGTCCCAGCAGGGGAATACCCAAGTTCCATACTGGTGCGTCTCGGAAGGCGGTTAGGAGCCGTACGAAACGTTTGACGCCCGACTGAAGGAAGTGTGTCGTGTTTTGCGGGTGCGTAGTCTGCTCCACCGATACCGTGGCCCAAACACGACCGACTTTGTGTCCATGCGCTTACAAAGAGGACGTTGGCAGCTCTCGAAACAAGTCGTCAAGTCTCTTCTTGGTGCTGGCAACGCTTGGCAAATACGGATTGTCAATCACCCACAGAAAGAGCTCAAGGTAAATTTGCAAGAAACAAGTCTAGGACTTCAGTGCTGATAATGCAACACTTACCAGACGAAGCGAGTAAACTCGAGAGGAAATTTTGCCAAGGCCAAGATTTTGAAACGTTCTGCAAGGATCGATGATGACGCCCGTGGAGGAAAATGAAGTCAAGGCACTGCGGCCGGTCTGGAAAGTCATTCCATGTTGACCAATTTTACCACCTAGCGTGTTCATGCAGGTAAATAAAACACTTGTCTGGGTTGAAAATTAGGTACTTGAGGCAGAATATATATGAATAAACACTTCCCATACCACACCCTTTACTTGTCTGCGCCTATGTGTCTCTTTCATGCGTCAACAAGACAATTACCCCTGATACGCTTTACAAAAGCCCCTTGCATCAAGCCACCCCCGGCTTCTTCCCAACCATCAAATAACTACATGGGCGTGAACAACTTCCTCCTCCCGCCCTCGACCAATGTATCTGCCGCCCTGCCCAGACTCTCGGCCGTCTTCAGGGGCGACTGGACCCCGATCGTTTGTTGAGGGCACTCGCACGAGAGCGGACGACGGGTCGATCATCATTGGAGGTCGTACTTGCACAAGTGAGGCTGCACAAGCCAAGGTGGGGTGCAACTGTTCCAACATTGGGTGACTGTTTTGTGCAAAGATGACGGCCCTTTTTGGCGGCGGCATGGACGGCCTCGATGCCGTTGTATACATTGCAAGCTGGAGGCTGGCTTCGGGTGCGCCTTTTGAGGCGATAGCAGGTCCTGGCGAAAACAGGTCTGATGACGCCGACAAGGGTAGATTGAATTTGCGGCTTCTGAGGCCCGTCAGGGCTGGCATCTACTCGGTACACAACCCAGAACATCGGGCAAGGTGTCTCGTCACCAATGCATTGCTCTTTTGCCAGTTGCTTTCTCATTGCCAGTAAGTCGGACGGTTTCATTCGGGACTCAGTTCGCACAAATCGGCATGTCCTGGCCGGGATGCTGTTTGGCGGATGTTCTGACAGCATTTCTGGGGCACAAAACTCATGTCGAATCGATGCCGGGATTCAAGAGGTCTTGGCGCATTTTGGTCCGGCATGCTTGGGTCAGGCATTTTTGAGACCTTTGAGCGGAATGTATGTTGCGGTGTAGCTGTCGATGCCGAGATGTTTGCGAGGTTGAAGTTGAATTGATTGAATTGACCAGAGTTGGTTCTACGGAATGGCCTAGTTTATGTAGAAATAGAAGAATCATTTTAAACTGCTGTTTAACAAGAATATCTGTACAGAGTAGGAACAGCAACAAGAGTCGAGCTCGCAAGACAATTCAGCTCTATCCATGCACCGACATATCTCGCCGGAAGCCCGTTGGATAATTGCAGAACAACACGAGTGTGGACATATACTGATGCTTATTTCTACCATACGCAGAACCCGTCTCACTTCATGCTAGCGTTGAATAATAGAAACACAAAAGCAAAAGGCTCTTTTGTTGACCAACGGGGTGAGGTGTGGTGTAGGTGTGCAGAGCTCGTACCTCGTGTAATCGCATTAGACAGTGGTGAGCAATGAAGCGAGCTTGATCTTGACATGCAGATATATAAAATCACAAAAAATACACTGCGCCAGTAATTTCACTGACTCCATTTTGTCAAGTCCGTGAACAACGTTCCGGTTGTGCTAGTTCCTGGACCGCTCCCACAACAGTGAACCCTATGTGTGCCTAAACCAACCGCAGTGATACCTCGGCGGAATATGCAATCAATGATACGAACCATTGTCTGGCATTGAACAAAGATCCACCCGAGATCAATTAGCTTGACGCCTCCCCCACCACAACATGCTCGTGCGCCCCTTCGATGAAAGCCCCACGAACATATTCTTACACCACTCCGGTGTCGCAGAAAGCTGCACTACCCATTGTTGAACCAAAAAAAAAAAAAAAGAGCCTGCCCCTGGATCCAAGATTCTGCATTTCGACCCATCATCAAAGTACACTCAAACATGGCTACGATCCGACATGCTCGACGGGAAGGTATGCCTTCATTCGACAACCAGGCCCCGACTTCCAACTGCTCCTGAACTGACACATCGACCGTTGAAAGATGCCCCCGTGATCCTCGAGCTCATCCAGGCCCTCGCCGCCTACGAAAGGGAGCCTGATGCCGTCGAGGCCACCGTCGAGTCACTCGAGAGGACAATTGCCTTTGCCCCGTCCGATTCAACCGGCAACGACGCCACGGTCCCCAACACCGAACCCATCACTCCTGACCGACCATCCCGCTGTTTGCTGCTATTCTCCCCCGAGGGCAAAGCCGTCGGAATGGCACTGTATTACTACAGCTACAGCACGTGGCGATCCAAGGCTGGCATCTACCTAGAGGATCTTTTCGTCCAGCCTTCTGAGCGTGGGCGAGGGTACGGCAAGAGACTGTTGGTCGAGCTGGCGAAGCAGGTTGTTGCCATGAAAGGCGGAAGGCTCGAATGGGTCGTACTCAAGTGGAACGAGCCCAGCATCAAGTTCTATGAGAGCCTCGGAGCGCAGGCGTTGGACGAGTGGGTTGGCATGCGTGTTGACGGAGAGAGATTGGAGAAGTTGGCACATTCTTTGGACCAGGCTTGATACCATAGAAGCTCCGGCGTTAGCGAAATAAAGGAGAAAGTGAAGAGAGGAATGGTAGTGTGGTGCTCCAGTCATGCATCTGGCTTGTTGTGTATTTTGTTTCCTCTTCTGTCCACACTTTCGAAAATCCCCTGTTGGGCTTTTGTTGCAGCCGGCAACTTGGATGTCGCATTTCCCCAACAAAGGGAATACTGTAGTGTGTGCGGATCCTGTTCCACAATCGGGGTGAGCTGCCATGTCCTATTGTAAGCTCTGCGGAACCATCTGTTCGAGACTTGCTTGCTACACTCATGTCCACCATACGGACCAGGATCGTATTGTCCCGTTCGGCGTTGTCGAGACCTTGTCTTGGGTTTTTCGATTCTTGCGGCGGGCGTTGTGGCATAAGATTCCCAACTCCAACTCTGAGCCGACTCTGTCGGCAAAGGCACGTCTGATGACGCATAATGCCGCCGCTGAGGCACAGCCCATTCGCCTTCTGCTTGCGCCCCAGCGCTTAATCGCCGCAACAGGTCCCATTCACCTTTACCCAGCGGGGGCATGATCTTGTCCGCACTCCTCCTCCACCAGTGAGCTCGCTTCGCCCTCACCAGGCTCTCCGCAGGCGGTTTCCCCCATATATTGGTCTTGGGGACGAATTGGTCGGGGTTGACGGTCTTCACGGCGCTTCCGGGCCAGCTAGCTGTGCCTTTGGTATCTTTCTGGTGCTGCCTCTGCGATTCAAGAACCTTTAATAGCTTAGGTTGATCCCATTTCTCAAAAAAATCATTCTTTGGCTTGCGTGCCGGCTTCGCCTTGGAGGCGTCTGCGCCTGATTGTGTTTGTGCGTCGCTCTTCTCTTTCTGATCCATTAAAGACTCCAAGGCTTTGGTGTCACTGGGACCTTGCGGTTTGACAAGCTGCGTCATTAGCTCTCGTCTTCTGTTGCCGGTTCTGCCAAATCCCTTCATCATCAAGCTCTGCATGGCAATCTTGTCGCCGCTATTGGCAGCCCGCAAGGTCCGAAGTGACGACTTGGCCTTTGCCAGTCGGTTCTTGGTGTGCATTCCATCTTTGCGGCTCTTGTGAAATCTAGTCCGGATGGTTGAGTCGATGGTGGCTCGGAAGGCGGGTGGAAGATACGAAGCTTCCCGGAGGAGATGGCGATAAAGATGGATGGGTGGGAGAGATTGAGGGAGGGGATATGTCGGGGCGGGCATTATGGCGAGGCGTACAAATAGAGAATGGGAGAATGCAAGCTAGGGCCGAATGCCATTATGCATTGTACGAGCACGACGTTCTTGATTTCGAAAGCTGATGTCTTTACAATCTGTGGAGCGCGACTCCCCGGCCCGGACCAACCTCGGGGCCCACAGTCACTGATGGTCTGGTTGCACAGATGCGGTCGGATCAACAACGGTGTATTATTCACTACGCAGTCATCGTCAACTTTGCTAAGACAGCCATGCTCCTCCGGGGTCTTAACTAATAACAAGTCTAAGAGTAAAAGGTATATTATTTTATTAAGAAATAATATGATAATAAAATTTTTAATAATTTCTTAAGTTACAAATAGTAGTATTATATTTATTATACCTCTACTCCGTATGTAATATAATAAAGTCGTTTTTTGCGGTGTGAGTCACCGGCATAAACTATATTTTACTCCACGCGGTTGATAGTTGAGGCTATCGCGAGATAGCCTTCGCCGGCGCGCGCTGTAATGAATCACCAATTGGCTAGTGTGTGACTGTGTGTCTGATGCATCGCGATGCGTTCATGGTGTCTTGCGTGGTTAGAATAATAATTATATTGAATTATTATTATTGAACTCATAATAAAATCAAGAGGCTAGAAATATATAATATAATAGGGATTACGTGAGGCTGAACCCTTAGCACGTGACCACCCTTAACATAAACGATCCGTTGTCGCCGCCCAAAAAAAGAAATCCGAGGCGCGACACGCGTGACACGCTTCAACACGACCCATTCACGTAACCGACACGTCTTGATTAATTGACTGGCGGCATTCCACGACCACGCGTAGCGGCCAACGAGGCCGTATTGCTTCGAGTTTCGTCATCGCATGACTATCAGAGAGGCACTGGCAGCGCATGCCTGTTGCTGCACCCCTCGTTTTGTATTTCGTGCATTTGCCGGCACCCTCGCTTTTCCATTTGGAGACGGAGCGAGACAGGCAGGAGATCTGTGTAACACTTAAACGCTTCGACAGTGATTGTGCCCAATTTCTTTTTCCCGTTTCTTTTCTTTTCTTTTTTTTTTTCTCGTCAGATCGCAGCACGGGCAGGCATCTGTAGCTACAAGGCTTGCCATTCGGCCGGGCCTCAATTGAATTGGCCCGTCTTGGTTAGCAGACAAGACTTGCAAGCTTTCCCCTCCTCTCCACCATTCCATAGACGAGTTGTCTCTCACTTACGCACGCACTTGTGCACGCATAACTACCACGGCGCTGCCCTGCAACCAACCCACTTGCCTGCTCCGTTCTCCGCCATTCATTTCGCCTGCAGCTGGGACTCACAACCCGACAAACTCCCCTTCGTCGACGCCGCAAATTCTTGTCGTATTGGTATTTTGCGACCGGATACCGAGCAGAGCAGCCGGGCATCACGCAGCCGATTTTGTGCGCGCGCATATGACCCTCGACAGCCCTCGGCCCTCTATCTATTCTTGAGGCGTCAGTTCCCTCGATTGCGGACTCCGCCCACACGGCGTCACTTTTGGTCTCTTGCCTTTCTCAATTCCTTCTTTTCTTACATGGCGCAAATTTTTGCCAATATGCCGTCAGCATCGCAGTCATCTCAACAGTCTTTTACCATGAGCCAACAGTCCCAACCGAGGCATAGCGCCTCTTTCCACCCAAGCTATAATGGCGCAGACGGGCCCCAGATCTACTCTGTACGTGCTCTCAGTCCATGTCACATCAACTACTTTAAAAGCTTATAGGTGGCTAACCAATTTGCTACGTCGCAGGCTTCATATTCAGGTGTCGATGTCTACGAAATGGAGGTCAACAACGTGGCAGTCATGCGAAGACGTAACGATTCTTGGCTCAACGCCACCCAGATCCTCAAAGTCGCCGGCGTCGACAAGGGCAAGCGAACCAAGATCCTCGAAAAGGAGATACAAACAGGCGAGCATGAAAAGGTCCAGGGCGGCTATGGCAAATATCAGGGTACTTGGATCAAGTTCGAACGAGGCGTGGAAGTTTGTCGGCAGTATGACGTAGAGGAGCTTCTGCGACCACTTCTGACATACGACATGGGACAGGACGGCGGTGTTGCCGGCAGAGGAGATTTCAACACTCCCACCAAGGAGCAGGCCATGGCGGCTCAGAGGAAGCGGTTGTACAATTCGGGTGTAGATGCCAGGCCAAATGGCATGTCCGGTACCTTTTTCAAGAACATCTCTAGCACCGCCTCACATGCGGTTGCGGCGATCAGCAAAGCTCGCTTCGACTCTCCAGGGCCAAGAAGTCGAAGCGGTCCTGCCCGGGCACCTAGCTTCAGCCGGCAACCGTCGATGCAGAACGGCGATGAGTTCCCCGGAAACTCGCAACAGAGCTACACCTCCGACTATAGTCAACAACTAGATTCGGCATACTCTACGCAACAAGCAGCCGCCTTGTCTGGCATGCCCGAGCATGAGCCTCCTCGTAAACGCCAGCGGGTAACAATGACGCCAGTCGACAGCTTCAGTGGATACAACCAGAATATGGACATGTATGGGACCGCCTTCCCAGGATCGCCCACTGAACCCAATGAGTCTTTCATGTACACACAAAGTGCAGTTCCAGATGGCGTCGCTGCCGGCGATGACGGCAATGGTCCCTTGCCTCCCCTGCCGTATGAGATGTCTCCTGACGTGGAAATGAAGCGCAACACCTTGATGGGCTTGTTCATGGACTCATCACCCAATGACACCTCGAAGCATGAGTTGCTGCGAACATTCAGTCCAGCTGAGCTTGATATGCCTATCGATCCCCAGAGTCACACTGCGCTTCATTGGGCGGCCACTCTGGCCCGCATGCCACTTCTGCGTGCCCTGATCGCAGCCGGCGCATCTCCATACCGGGTCAATGCATCCGGTGAAACTGCGTTGATGAGGGCCTGTTTAGTCACGAATTCGATGGACCAAGGCTCGTTCCCCGATCTTCTCGAAGTCCTCGGAGGCACCATTGAGTCTAGAGACCACAAGGGTCGAACAGTGCTGCATCATATTGCTGTAACCAGCGCCGTCAAAGGTCGCAATGCTGCTAGTCGATACTATCTAGAGAGCCTTTTGGAATGGGTTGTTCGACAGGGTAGCGTCCCGAGCAGCCAGGCCAATAGCAGCGTTTCCAATGGCTCACAATCCGCCATTCCCAAGATGGGAATTGCTCGTTTCATGAGTGAAATTGTCAATGCTCAGGACAGTTCGGGTGACACCGCTTTGAATATCGCGGCTAGAATTGGCAACCGAAGCATCATCTCACAGCTTCTGGAGGTTGGTGCAGACCCCAACATTGCCAATCGTGTCGGCCTGCGGCCTCTTGATTTTGGCATTGGTGGTGACAATGCGGAGGAAAAGACCAACAGCGAAATGCCAGCTGAGAAGAACGGCGCTGCCGGGTCGAGCCAAAGGACGCGAGAGAGCAGTGATGAGATTATTGCGTGTAAGTTTCTCCACAGCCACGCTGCGATACCTTTATGTAGCTAGCATATTAGCTGACATGATATAGCCATCACACATCTCCTCGGCGAGACGGGAACAGCCTTCCAGCAGGAAATGAAGTCCAAGCAAGTCTCATTAGACGCCATGCATGCGACGCTGCGCACGACCTCGACCCAGCTTGGTGACGCCCGCCGCAATCTCGAACAGCTAACCTCCACCGTCAAGAAGCAGCAACTTGCTCGACAGAAGGTGTCCAACCTCGCACATGCCCGCGAAGACGAGCAGCTCCGCCTAATGAACGAACAACAGCGCTCATCACAGCCCAACCCCTCAGCGTCATGGGAGACC